TAAACTCACTTATTCTCCCACTTCCTCTTCCTCCACTGAGCTCTTCCACACCTACACCGATGCCGATCATGCAGGGAATCCGGATTCTGGACGTTCCACCTCCGGTTATCTCGTCAAGATGGGCACTGGTGCTATTTCCTGGCAATCTCGCCTTCAATCCATCGTCGCCCTCTCCACCACAGAAGCCGAATACGTCGCTGCTACCACTGCTGGCCAAGAGATCCTCTTTCTTCGCAACCTGCTCACTTCCTTTGGTTATTCACTCGACTCTCCCTCTACGCTCTACATCGACAATCAGTCTGCACTTCAAGTGGCGAAGAATCCCGAGCACCATGGGCGTATGAAGCATCTGGACTTGCGGTTCTATTGGTTGAGGGATGAGGTGGAGAAGGGGACGATCCGGATGGAGCATATAGGGACGGATGAGATGCCTGCAGACCTTCTGACTAAACCCCTGGCTAGGGTTAAAGTGCAGAAGTTCGCGGAGATGATGGGACTTAGGGCTTGAGGTCTGCCTCGTCGGGTGGGAGTGTCCGGAGTATTACGACGAGACAGAGGGAATTTTCCTGATATTTTAGCAATTTTTCCGGGACTGATAGGACCACTTACTGCAGAGTTATGACTTTAGTTATTTCGCCAGCCAGCGGGCCGCAGAGGGCCGGATTCCGCGCCTCGGTTCCGCGCCTCTGCGTCGCGTTTAGGCAGGTAGTTTTCCAACTGTATAGTAGACCGGTAAGCGCCGGAGCGCGTCTTTTTAACTTGTGGGAAGCGTCCTTGTCTCTTTATCATTGACAGTGACGCTTCTCACAGGTGAGTCTTACTATAGATTTCGTCTCTTTCTTTTTCTATTACTTTGTGAGGGCAATATCATTTACAGTGACGCTTCTCACAGTCGTTCTTCGAGTGCTCGATTATCTGCGCCTTACAGGTATTAGGTGTAGGGATGTCTATACCTACTAAAGATATATACATGATGTATGGCCTACAGCATCTGCTACCCTATACACAGTCAGGTATCGGTGTTGTCTGTGGTCTCAGCTATAAAGTAATGATCAAAAGAATGTTGAATGTTGAAAAGAACAGTGAAAAGGTAGTACCACACCGACCTTGTGTATTATTATAAGGCAAATAGATATATGATTGTGTGATGTTCCACGCCTGGTTATCTGTCCTGTCTGTTCGTGTGGATATTACAAGACTCACCTGTGAGAAGCGTCACTGTCAATGATGAAGAGACAAGGATGCTTCCCACAAGTTAAAAGGACGCGCTTCGGCGCTTACCGGTCTACTATACAGTTGAAAAGTAACTGCCTAAACGGGATGCAGACTGAGGTGCGGAATCCGGCACGGACCGCTTGGTGGCGAAATAACTAAAGTCATAACTCTGCAGTAAGTGGTCCTATCAGTCCCGGAAAAATTGGTAAAATATCAGGAAAATTCCCTCTGTCTCGTCGTAATACTCCGGACAGACCGGTCTGGTAGACCAGATCTAGGTTAGGGGTCTGCATGAACCTTGTGTTGCACGGGTCACCACCAACCCTAACAAAGAAAAGAAGCAAAAGAAAGGAGTAGTATAAATGATGTACCTTCGTTCCTCAGGCATCATAACATATGCATGAGCACGATACACGGTGCCTGATAAGTGTGGATATCAAACCTTCTTGCGTAAATGTGGATAAGGCTGAGTGCTAGAATGTGCAATTGTCAGTTGGTCGTTGGCTGATAAATAAACTAGAAGAGTACAATGTGTATGTACAATTAGGCATGGAGCTGAAACACAACTACTGTCAGGAATAGCAGCTCACAGAGGGCTAATGGCCCAAGGACACACAGACACAGACACAGATGCTGTGTACAGAGACAAGGTAAGGGTATGTACATGGACGAGTTTTTTTGCAACCAAACCCTAACCCTAAACCGGGAGAACTCCGAACTGTGCCACAGTGGCCCCACAATTGTCTGCCACAACCACAACCAACAACTACCTCGTTGAAGATACCACTCAGGTGTATATAAAGGTGACCATGGTCGGAGGGTCAGCATGCACAATGTGTAAGGGATAAAGGAAACAAAAAAGGAGGGCTGTTGGATTGTGTGAGGGCGAGAGTAAACGAAACACGTGAGCTCCATGTTACGAGTGTTGATCTCACAAGACTGAGGTATACACATTTGGAGCTACAGATAACCTAAATGTGTGTTCCAAGGGGATTCTTCGAATGTTGATGAGAGCAAGTCCACGGCTCACACTGGGACAGAGACACAACATAAGTACATTACAAGTAATATAGATATTGAGAATATATAACAAATTAAGTACGTGTGGCGCGAAGCTTGTCTCGAAGAACAGTGAATGGCCTTCACCGGCCAGGAGCGTAGCAAATGTGAAGGAGCCATTGTTTATAGAAAATGCAATGATATCAAATGAGAATAACTGGGGAGAACACAGATAGATAAGAGTCACCACATGGCCCATCTCGACAAACAAACTCGACCGTGCAAGCAGATCGACATGGCCTACCAAAAAGAAAAGAAACAACAACGGTCACAATAAGAGAGACAAGTCAGAACCATGATTGAGAAGAAGAGAGTGAACGGACGCACCATAGGGTATCAAACAATCCCACTGTGATGCAGCATGCATGTGCGAGCCAACCTCGATACGCCAGACTACTCTTGCCCACCTTGAAAACTCTCCCCGCCGAAAAAAAAGCTGTAGAGCCCCGAACGATGGACACAAATGTGTCAAACACCGTCCTCGACTCCACATACTCGAGGTCCAGGTCCAGGAAGGAGCTGCAGGCATGAGAACGGTGGACACAGTCGTGTCAAATACCGCCTCAGGTTCTACACACTCGCCCAGGGTCTGTATGCACTGATGAGGAGGTCGAAATTATAGGAGGAGAGCATTGCACGGACGGTGCGCAAGACCCGTGGCTCAGATGGTGAGTGGGTGGCATGTCATCCAAGCAGAGAGATCTGGTGTCGACGGTGGGTGCGAGAATAGGGGAGAGAGAGACGGAGAGGGGAGAAGGGAGAAGGTAGAGGGAAAGAGAAGAGGAGAGAATCACCAAGGGAAGCGACATCGGCGAGGTTTTAAACAGGCGAAGGAGCAAGGCTCTCACACACAGACCCGTGGGTACGGGTACAGAGCGGCGTGCAATTGACATTCAACATTCAACAACAACACATGTTCGGAGTTCTCCGGCACATGTCAGCGCGTGCTTGTCACCTTCCCTCCGCTTCGCTCTCCCCTCTTTCCTCTCTCTCACTCCCTCTCTCGCTCGCTCACTCCAAGCCCGAATGTGAATACAATCCAGTTCTCAAGCACAAAAGGTAAGCTCATCTTCCTTTTGTTCTTCGCTTGATCTCCTCACTCACCGCACCCCTGTATCCCAATTATTTGGGACCCCTAAAAAAAACACCAAAAAATGCACTATATTTGTCTCTGCCTATGTATGCAGGTTATTCAGGGCCAATTCATGTACCCAGAAATGTTTCAATATGTCACATCAGTACTCATACCAATTTTCATCATACCAATTTTCAGAACATTACACGGTGATTTGGTGAATATATAACAAAATATGTATGAAATATGCCCTATTTTCCTCCTCATCCATATAGAATATGTTCTATACAACTTCTAGGTGAATTTAGCGGCCTAAAGAGCACTGAATCCCCTTCCTATATGTTTTATATGATTTACCATGAAGCTACATGAGCTAAAAATGGTGTAAATTCCGCCCATAATACTGTGGCAGTGAAAAGTTTTGTCCACGGCTTCAGCCATACATAGCTCAACGAGTTCCGCTCAGATTGACTTGTTATATAGACCGAAATTGTAGCTCATAATGTCTAGTTTCATACTGTAATGTGGTTGGAATTTATATGTTGGGTATTTCCTGAGATATGAGCCAAACAACCGAGAAAAATGCATAGTGGGCCATTGTGGCCACACCATAACAGCCTTTTGGCATAATGGCTTATACATAGCCTAAAACTACACTATCATCGTATTCCGTAGCACATTTTACCTCAATTTTTGGTGGTTGAGGAGCTATGTGCTGTGCAAGACAGGCTTCAGATGGCTCTTTGTGCCACAAATTGCCTTTTTTGGCTCAAACTCACAAACTTGCATGGCACATAGCTCCTCAACGGCACCACCAAAAATGGAGGTAAAATATGCTATAGAGTACTGTGATAGTATAGTTTTAGGCTATGTATAAGCCACTATGCCCAAAGGCTGTTATGGTGTGACCACTATGGCCCACTATGCATTTTTTTCGGTTGCTTGGCTCATATCTCAGAAAGTATCCAACTAATAGATCCCAACCAGGCTACAGCGTGAAAGTAGCCATTGTGAGCTACAATTTCAGTCTATACAACAACTTGATCTGAGCGGAACTCGTTGAGCTATGCACGGCCGAAGCCGTGGATAAAACTTTTAACCACCACAGTAATATCCAGTGGCGCTGTGGCCCAGAAACACACCTCCCTGTCCCTATATTCACGGAGGGACATTATCACTGGTTTGACTCCATGGGAGGTTCATCCAAGGGTATATCTACCTTATCCAGCTATCTCCCAGCCAATGTAAACCATGGGTACATCCAAGGTAGGGCCAAGATCCATGTGCTCCTCCTCCCCCCCTCAGTTTCTCAGTGTCCTATAGGCGCATATGGCCATACATCATTCAGCCAGCTGTTACATGCTATATGGATGATATGACACTCATCCCACCCAAAAGGAACAATATCCAACAGCTAAATGATGTATCCTGCATAACTAAACCCCAGCCCTGAACATCCCCCTACTTGCTTTTGCAATATCTTGGGAACACATAGACAAATTTGTCCAAATCCGTCCTATGTTCTTCCAGCGGCTTTCACAACTCTAGACAGGGGACGAAATCTTGCGGGTGCGCCAAATAATGATTTCGATGGACCAAACAAAGCCCGATTGAATCAAGGCTGTGTCTCGTGCCTCAGAATCACGACTTTGACTCGAGCGCTGTGGCGGGATCAAGACCGTGTCGACCGCGGCATTTGAGGGTGGCTGCAGCTTTATTTTAAGCTTTCTTATGTTGCTGGTGTGGTGAAGTTCAGTATAAACTCTCCCAACCACCGTCGCTATGCCCGTTCATCACATCCGATCATATCGCATTACGGGTTCCAGCCCGAGTCTGAGGAGTTTGGCTGACTTTCTGAGCTTATGTTCGCTGTTCTTGCACATCTTGTCGACTTCGCAGCATCCACCTCAGGTTTCTTGCATAAGGTATCTTGTCCTATTGCTAACTGGTCATTGGGAATTTTTGCATATGTGCATGTTCCTTGCAGCGCTGTCCTCAGGGAAGACGCTCAGTCGGGCTAGTTTGGGGCTAGTAGCTCGGATAGGGGGATGTCCGTACTTTTAACTTTATATGTTAGCCCATCGATACATCGACGAAGCCCCATTTTTTTTGAATGCATAATGGCTGATGGATTCCAATATGCGTTGTGATGCTCAGCGGAGCTTTAGCACTTCATTCGACTCTTCGAGGCCTCAAATAGACATCGAACTGGCTGTTATACAGCGTTGTCCTGGCCTCTCCTTTTTTTCCTGCCCTCTGGTGATCACCTGCTGCAATTTTCTCATGCCGCCAGGACATGGCTGGGTCAACATGGCTCTGGGAATTGGACAGCACGGCGAGCATATACCGCATGCTGAGTACATCGACGCCCTCCAGAACCTTCCTGGCGATGCACGTTTCATCGACCCTGAGCCTCAGAATGCGAATTTTGCAGCTCCGCATCGTCCGAATCCGCCAGAGAGGAATGCACCGAATGACCGTCTTCAGCATGCCGCACCTCCCGCACCTCCAAATCCTCAGCCAGCTCCAAGGAACAATTTTCAGCATCGTGCACCAGCAGTTGTGGCGCCTCTGAACCGACATCATCCACCTAATGCTTACGGTGCGCCTCTCGCTCCCCAGCCTGACCCATATCAGCACCTCTACGGGTACGGTCAATACGGAGCACAACCGGTACCCCAGTATCAGTACGGCTATCAAGCTATGCAAGGTGATTGGAAGCTTCAAATTATCGTACTTTGGCTGTACTGACTCTTACTCCTATGTGTGTCAGGCGGCCCTATCGCTCATTACCCTAATCACCCCAACGGTCTCCCCGCTGCACACTACTATATGGCTCCTCCTCCTGCAGCTCAAGGTCCTACTCAGCAACTGTCGCACCTACTGTACCCATTCGCCAGACGCCAAATGCGCACATTGGTGGAGGAAGTACGTACCCTAAGCCACTGACCATCTATTCTTGTCTTAGACCCTGACTCTCTTGCTTTCTAGTCTTCGTAGCTCGTGCTTTAATATCTCGAAAGCCCGTTCAAACATCCTTCCAATTCCAAACTGATATAGTCTATGATGACTTCCGGAGCCGCTGCCTTGCCAAGTTCGACGATCCGGCCGCGCAGCTCGCATACAAAATCACGGACGATCCAAAACGGCCGGACCCTTTTGAGCTCATCGACGCTTCTCAGTTCCAGGACGCGATGAAACGACTCAATCGGAAGTGTGCAAGTGCTACCAGCCGAGAACAGGAAATCTTCATATTCAATGTTGTACGTTCACATCTAGTACGAGTTCCAACTTTACTCAGTGACTTGCTAACTTCACCCTCGCAATAGCGACCGGGTGCTGAACAGTCAACTGGTGCCAAACCATCGACGTCGCTGGGAACTACCAAGCGTTCCCGTCAGGACGCTATGATTCCCGGTCCTTTGACCATTCCAGAGAGTTTGACGGAGTTCGAGAAGGGGCTCTGGCGGTCACTTAACAAACACTTACGCTGTGAGAAGCACCAGCATACCTGCATCATCGACACAAAGGGTGGCAAGACACTTCATATCCCGGTATCCTACGACATCAAGGAACTATGGATTTCATTTATAGTGAGGATCATACTCCCAATTCACTTCCCGTTTATCCAGTAATCTCATTTCTTCTAATGGCAGAAGCGTCAAAAGGCCACCGTTTTCCGACCGCCGCACGCCGTAGAGGTCGAGCTTCTCAAGCTGAAGAAGAAGGCTTGGTCAGCCCGAGAAGCCGCCGCCAGTCACACGAGTAGTGAAGAAACGGGAACGCGAATCATCTCTGAGGTCCATCTCAACATCAACGGCCAAAAACTCGATGTCCAACAACCAGCTACGCCATCATCAAGCAAGAAAAGGTCTCACCGCTCTTTTGGAAGCCCCCTGTCCCCGAACTCAAAGCGCCTTCGTCAATCGACACTTTCCCCCAGCTCACGCCGTCGTTGCTTTCCGGATTCTCACAAAGCCTCATCGTCCCGTCCTCCTCTGCGTGCGCCACAGTTTGACGAGTCCGTCTCGCCTCCATCCCCCTCTATCAATCCTCGACTCTATCCCACAATTCACGATGCTCTCGTTGAACTGGACATACTGAAGCCCGGTGCTGGATATCTTCTTTTCGAGGACATTCTCAAGGCCAATGGCATCTATTACATCAATGACCTCAACATCCTTAACCCCACGGAGCTTGCTGGCCACATCGACATTCCGATCGTTCAACTCGGTGCTATTTGCGAGCATGGGAGGGTAGGAACGGCGAAGGTTGATGCAGAAGTTGCAGCGGTCGATGTTGAGCAGCGTAGAACGGATTGGTCGGAGGAGATTTTCAGAGACAAGGAAAACTATCGCATGGACCCCGACAGTGTGTATGGGGATGAAGACGGAGAGATTGAGGGTGAGGGCGAGGGTGCAGATGATGATGAAGGCGATGATGATGATGGTAGCTGGGGCGAAGTTGATTTTTTAGGTCGAGGAGCAGAAAATGGCTACGTTAGCGATGGCGAAGGTCTTGGAGAAGAGTGTACATGAATTGCGTGAAAGATAGATACTGTTTCTTGTGGCTCGCTGATTCAACTCAGCCCTCCATGTTTGTTATCTTGTTCTGTCTCTTAGTTCACACCTCTCCTTTGTCATTACATTGAGTCTCGCTATAAAATACTTACAATGCTTTCAACAGTCAAATACCTCTCAGTTAGAAGTAGAGAAAGATATCGGCAAGATCACACAAACAATCAAGAAAATGTATTAATATCCAGAGTCCAAACAACGTTAACAATGACTGCTTAGAAAGTACCATATCCAGAATCACGGAACCATCCTCTCGCCTTCTCAGGGGTAACAGTGTCATATACCGTCTGCCAGAGCATTGCATACGGATCAGCATATGCACCGTCACCCAACTCCCCGAGCACATAGTCGCGGTTGCGTCTGATAGCGGCCTTGATGCACGAAAAGGCCTCTTCGATCGGATTCATGTCGGGTGAATAAGCTGGCAGATATACAAGCCGCATACCACTAGAGAAAAGCTTCAGCCGTAGCCCATTGCACACATGGAAGACTTGAATGTAAGTACGCAGACTCACCGTCGCTCAACCATCATCCTGAGTGCTTGAGATTTGTGGATGGACGCGTTGTCGATAACGAGAACAGAGTTCGGCAGTGGGAATGGGTTCATGCGGGTAAGAAGCCGTGAAACGAACATGTTGAAGGTTTCGGTCGTGTACGATGTCTCGCTGACCTCAAGAGCCAGTATACCATCGAGTGACATTGCTGGAAGAATTGAATACCTAGTTCCGAGCACCGTCAGTAAGGAAATAAAGAGATACCGGAAGATGGCGCGATAAATCAGGAACATACCGCTTTCCACGAACAAAACAGTCTCGGCGACGAGCACGATCTCCAATAGGAGCCCAGGCGTAGGCCCTTCGCGTTACATGTCGATTAAAATGACTCTCATCGGCGAAGACGAGTTGGTTAGCACGGTAATACCGCCCAATCAATAGACCGTACTCCGTCCGGTCATTTTCATTGCGCTCCTGCGCTGGTCGTGTAACCTATTCACGATTCAATCCTGATAAGAGTCAACTATAGGGAGAAAAAGACAGTAAGGCCTCACCCGTTTGCGAGTAAATCCTCTTCTGACAAGAGTGCGCCAAATCGTGATAGTACTTGCATGGACTTCGTAACTCTCCCAGAGAAGAGTCTGCAGCTCCGTGAGGTACAGATCAGGTTGCCGCTCAATACAACCCTCCAAGAACTATAATGATAGAGACAATCATCAGCGCAAGCATACCAAACAACATTTGGAAAGGTGCTCACCGCAGTCTGCATGCTATTCAACAGCATTGGGTGACCTATGTTCAACGGTGTGTTGACGACTCCACCACCGGTTTTGCGCGCGACAGCTCTAACGCGGTGAACAGTGCGCTCCTTGCATCCAACGATGTCGGCAATGTACGGGGCGCTCATGCCACGATAGGACAGCTGCATCATCAGCTCCTTCATGGGAGCTGGAATGTGGCGATAGACCATGGTGCAAAAGACAGTGAAGTGACTCGGAACAACTGAGCGGGCGGGAGACAAGACTCAGACAAAGCACTTTAAGCAGGCGTGCGGAAGAGAAACAGTACTGACCAGTCGACTGGCACTGGAGATTATATGGATAGCTGTCGTCGTCCCCCGTTTCACATCATGCCAATATAATCTGAAGCGGTGGTTATGTTGCGTAGCGAGTAAGATGGGAAGTACCAGTCAGCGTTCGGCGCTCGATACTCAATGTCCGTTACCAGGCACGGCTGTGGCGGTGGGGCTTTGTTTGGTTCATCGAAATCATTGTTTGGTGCACCCGCAAGATTTCGTTCCCTGTCTAGAGTTGTGAAAGCCGCTGTCATGTGTATTTATACTTATTTTTCAAAGCCAAAGGACTACAGAAGTCAGCCTCCTTCATGTCACCAACTTTATTTCTTGGTGTTTCTAAGGAGTGTACACACCTTGCAGGCAGTGTGGCCCCAGGTGTCATCTTGACGGAGATGGATATTGAACAGGATGGATGGGATGAGCATGTGGCTAGTCACGTGACAGCATGTGACCCTTAGTAAGAATTAGAGGGTCTGGACTCTGGCATGGAATATTCTAGATTACTTAGTAGTTTACATTACTCATTATAGATAGCATATGACTGGCTTACTGTACAAGTCTCGGCACAATATGGGCCAACAAAGTTGATGTGGATACGGAAGCTGAGTAGTATAAGAACCCCATGTACATATGTCACCTCATGGTTGCCTCATGCTGCCGTTGACAGCCTCTATGTTTTATTTCCCTTCTGTCTTTGCTCCCCTCTCGCTCTCTTTGCCTCCATTTCCATCTCGGCCTAGTACCCCCTTGCAAGTCGTCATTCGCCTCTATGGCCTCTGCCCCTCACTTTTCTATGGCTACTCCCGAACCCGACAAAGAGGCAGGCACTCCGAAGCTTGTGCAGGAGACGGAGGGAGATACCACGGGTCCTGAGGAGGAAATAGGTATCCCTGGACCCAAGCAGGAGATGTATGAAGCCGCCCTTGCACTCAAGAAAGTAGATTTTTTCACGATCGACTGGCCTGAGGGTAGGGTGCCTACTCATCTGAATAAGGAGTATGCGAGTTTTCTTCTTTGTGGTACATTTTGTCTTCCATATTCCAGTATCATGCAATTTCTTACTTCAGATGTAGCTCACCATCTTGAAGCAAAGCCTCACAACAAGATCAGCAAGTACTTTCAGTTTGACAAAATCTATAAACAAAAATGCGAACGCCAGATCCCGGAGGAGGAGTGGGCCTTGTATCTCGAGAAGATAGGGAAGCGAATGAACCAACTCAAAGAACAGTACGTCCATACCATCTTTTCGTGATCATAAACCTCTTTTCAACTCACAACCATGCTGGTAGAGGGTACAGGAACCAGTTCGCGCTTTCAAAGGGTGTTTCAAAGCCAGACCCGTGCTGACAGGTACTCGCCATCTCCACCTCCAATTCTAACCTGCAGGCTAGCGCGCAGGCTGCCAAGGACATTGTCGAGGACACCCTGGATGCTTTTGGAGATGTGGAAAACTGCGCCATCCTTGTCAAAGGCCTCAAGAACCACCTACAGACGCACCTCAATGTCATTGAGGAGCTCCGCGAAGACTGGTGGGGCCCGCAAGATGATGACCCACTCCGACAAGTGTCCCTGGCCAGTTGGATCCACTCCATCGCCTGCTACACCCAGGTCCTTGATCTCCTCGCATGCAGCACTGCTCACCTGGTTGTGGCGTATGATGAAGAGGCGTTAATATTCCAGGGTCGTAGGTGCGTATCACTAACTTCTTTTTGCTCTCGGTCTCCGTACTGAACCCTCCGTGAAGTGTCAACATGGACGAGTTCCACAACCAGTTTGGGTTTGATCACAACTCCTTTGCCCCCCCCATCGACTTCTTAAACTACTGGTTATACGTCGTATTCTACCGCTGCTCGTATATAGAGGTGAGTAAGTCTCTGATCTGTATTCTCCATGGCACATCGGAGTGTCTCATTGACTGATTAATTTTGTAGACGTTCTACCAGTAGAGTCAGGACACAGCATTTTGTTTTCTTGTTCTCTTCCCCGTTGTGCTGTATATCTCGCTTTTCGTACCCTTAGTCCAGCCGTACTTTGATCTGCTTTTCTGTTTGCATGTTTTGAATCGTCGCTTTGCTATAATATCATTTGCTTCCCCATGTCTTTCCGTGTGATCATTTTCTACATCGAGCGTAAGAAAGCTCGCAGTAAATACATGCAAGAAAGTCTAATAGTGGTAATGTACATCTCCAAGAGCTGTATCTTACCGTACAGACCACTCTACTCTGAATCAGAGGGTACAAGATGGTTTACAGACAGCTCGAAGCCCCTATATTTTACAGACAGTGTGAAGTCCCTATTCTGCCACAGATGTCACGGCCGGACGGGATGACGCCCAATCCTGGGTAAGCCTCCCTGGCAACGTGGGGTTTCTCTCAAAGAGCGGGTGGGGTGTCTGCGCTTTAGCTCAACACGCTAAAGTACCTACGGGGACGATCGAGAGCTCCAAAGCAGTGGCTTGACCTTCAAGGTTGCTCGACGCGAGATCGAAGGACTAGCTAACTACGCTAGCAGCGACGTGAAGATATGAGGGTGAAGAGGATGAGCCTCTGTTCTGAGTTGTTCGTCCAGGAGTTGACGATCTCGAAGCTCGGGTATGTACATGCAGACTACTCTACCTATATACCCAAGCTGAGAGGGACGCGTAAGCGATGACAAAGGGAACACGTAAGTGGGGGACACGTATGCGTATCGAGTCATAGTTCGTAAGAACGAATGGACAGAGATGACAAAGGGCCGCGCGTCGAGTATGAAGGAAAGTGAAGGGGAGCCGCATTATAGAGGAGAGAAAGCAAAGGATGGAAAGGGAAAGGGACACGTAAGCTAGGGGTGACACGTACCAGGAGTCCGGGAGTCCGTGGTGGACGCGTAATCATAAGAGTCATCATGGGGTCGTAAGCGCATCCTGAATGTCGTGACATCATGAGGAACCGTGGATGAGTCAGAAAGGAAAAGGAAATGAGTGTGGCGAGTGTGGCGAGACATGCGAAAGAAAAGAAAATGAATTGTCCATAAATGGCCATTCCTAATAACAGAACTTGTGATTTCTTTTCTTGTGTCTAATGAAGACACAGTGATCAATAGAAACATATTGTCGATATATCTAGCCATCTGCTTTGTGCATCTTATCTGGTAGTATGAAGCAGTAAGCGAGCTGCAAGAGTAGTGTATCCAGAGTGAGCTTAATGGCGCTCAGCACTCAACTGCAAACACAACTCTCGTTCAACTGAGAATGTCCATTTGGAGCGTAAAATAGAAGTTGACTGTGTTTATTCTTATCTTAGGACACCTTATTCAATACTTTATGATCTGTGTACAATTTCTGGATAGGCCAAAGAGATTCTCTTATGACAGAGGTCACAAAGTGTCTTGAGTGAACGATGCTAACGCTCCGAACTGACGCAAGTTGCATGGCTTGCTAGATCCAGAAACTAACTTTTGCTCAATTACAAAAGAACATGCACAATAATTGGCCTCTATATTTTTGTGAGGACATTTTGCATTGTGACACTATATCTCCTTATACTTATTTTATAGACAGGCTGTGGATCACTTGTAGCACCCCAAACATACCTGGATCAACGTAAGTACATGAAGCTGTGGCACCCACGCGTCTTTGAATACATGCAGAGAAGAAACGAAGACACCTTCTACCCAAGGTCTGGAGTTTCGGTGGTGGTAGATTATTTGTTGGCAAATTGCTGTGGTGTCCTTTCCAAGGTATACCTGAGTTGTGCATCTGTCTACGGGTTTCTAGTGTCGAGTGAGTAGTACAAGCATGAGTGGTGCAATACACCACTCAAACTCGACAGTCAACTTCGAACTTTGAACCTGCAAAATAAGAGATTACAGTGATGGACTTACACCATTAGCCCTTCATCTGCCGTCCTTGGGATCTCCTTACCCTCCATAGCAGGTCAATCTATAGGTGGCCTGTATTGATGCGCAACTTAGCAATAGCATTCCCGGAGCTCTGACGTTACCCTCGATCGCAGCGACCTAGCCAAGTTATGGGTCCATGTTTGGGTTATATAAACCGGACCGGCAAAATTTCCCTTCCCAACCCTGTCTCTCAGTGTTTCACCTACAACCCTACGGGCATCCTCAAGTACCTATACCCTCTCAAAGGTGCGTCAATTGATTTCTTTTGTGTTTTATATTATTTTTGCGTTGCAACTGTAGCGCTGTGTTTTTACGTGCCCCACGGATGTGTCCTCAATGCCAAACATGTGTCGTCCATACTCCTTTCCGAACCGCAGAAGCAGTAGGCCTAGGGAGGGGTGGACTGAAGCAAGACGGGAGAAGGAGAAAGCGAGGAGCAAGGCGAAGAAGGAGAAGAAGAAGGCAGAGGGAAGGCTTCCCAGGAGGAGGACCAGTGAGAGCCAGCAGCAGAAGAAAAAGCCCAAGAGGGCTGAATCGAGGAGGGAGAAGGAGGAGAAGGCAGAGGCCAATAATAAGGCAGGGCCGTGGCTCTCCGAGTATCGACTTCCCAAGCATGCAATGGAGAAGTGGGGTGCCCCAATCACCGTCAATACCAACATAGAGATAGAGAACGGGTCCGTGGCCGAGGGTGCATATGTTGGGAAGGATCATCCAATCGATAGGAAGCACGGTACGGACAATTATACCATGGAAGGTGTACTAGTTATGGGATGTAGGCTTGAGGAATGGGACAGCGTGTAAGCAGCTGTCCTTGTAAGAAACATTATAATAGAGTGTGGCAAGTATGCTGAGCTCCATTGTAATGATTGACGAGTATTAACCACTTCGGATTTTTTTGGACATCTACATTTCAATGCATAGAGCTTAAGTTCAACGGTGATTGGTCCACATACCCCTCAAATAAATTCAGAAATTCAAATACACTGCAGAATTGGCCATTTTCAGTGAAAAACTGACGTTTTGCATGTGTACTGTATCACACAGATCATTTCTGACATAGTGGATGACCAAGAAATATTCATTATGATTTATTACAGCCATGTACCACACTGCATCACAATCACACTGCAATTGACAGAGATCTGGACCATAAACACCCCCAATACTACCTGTGCACCTGCTCCCCCATCAAAAACATCGTTTTGCTTTCATCTCAGGCTACCAGCAACATTTCTGGTGCCTGTTCAGTATTCATGTACATTTAAATTAAATTATCACAATAAGAACAGCACCAAAAACACGTAAATTGGTTCTCCTACCGGGTCCCCAACCCGGCCCTAGAGCCTACCTGGTCACCCAAAAGCCAGCTAACCAGCTGGGCCAAAGCACTACAGGTCGAGCCACATCTAGAATGAACATTCTTGTGCCACACCTCCAAGCACAAGGCAACCTACCCATTTTTATCTCTTTTGGGACGTTCTGAACTCGGCATATATCACAGAAAACAAAACCAAGCAATGCAAGCATTTGTTGATATCCCAATTGAGCTGGTACAGCATTGTAATGACAGCCATTTTCTGGCTCAGTGTGGCAGTGCATACTTCACGCCAGACATTACAATGGAGCTCGATGTCCTTGCCGCACTTCATTATAATGGCACTACATGGTCTGGTGGTGTAATTCCCCCATTGTTTGTTTTCTCTCTCTTGTTCACCCTTTCTTTCTTCCATAGTACACCTCACGCGATCATCCACCAACGAAGGAGGATCCTTGGTGTCCTCGCCGCACCAGAGGATGTACCACCTTTATAAAGGTACCTGCTAGTAAGAAGGGGGTCCTTTACAAAGGTTCCCCTGGTCCAAGAATTATAAATGACAGTACTGGGCTGGCTACTGGGGAAGTTGGGGAGTGATTCTGGGTAAGCCGGGTGGCCCAGGGTGATGGGGTAGGATGTACGGGGGTGGTCCTGGGGGTAGGGGATGGACTAGGGGATGGGGTAGGAGTGCTAGGGAATAGGTAGGGCAGGTAGATAGGGCGTATATAGTGAAATGAGCTAGGTTATGTATGGATGAAATGGGGAATATGGGCAGGGATGATCGTAGGATGAATAGGGATGGAACAAATACGGAATTTTGATGAAATTGACATATAAAATGTGAATTGTGGCCCAATTGTGGCAACATGAAGGAGGTAAATTTTGGGGGTTTTGACTATTTTACAAACATTGATAAATGTATATCCGAAGTTATAGCATAAACGGTCAGCAAGATATTGCCCTATTGAGGTAAAAGGGGGTGGACAGGCCAAAACTGGGGATATAGCGGTTTGATTGCCTTGGTTTTTGTTGTCATGGGTAGTCCTATATCAATAATAAGTGATGGGAGGCATACCAGACACAAAACCAATGATTGTGGCCTTGGTAGTGGTGCCGCGTCTTGGGGAGGAGGAAGAGAACATCTACTCTGGGGGTATTACCATGAAATGGTCCTGCACAAATTGTGGGGCGCTGAGGGGGCTGAGGGGGTAAAATAGTGTATTGGGCCACAGTATAATCAGAGAAACACCAATTTATGAGTTTTTGGCACCGTTCCTGTAGTAGTAATTTATTTTCAATGTGTATAAATATTAATTGAGCACCATAACCGTCGCTGGTAGTCAGTGAAAAAAGCAAAACCATGTTTTTGGTGGGGGAGCAGGTGCACAGGTAGTATTGGGGGTGTATATGGACCAGATCTCTCTCAAATGCAGTGCGATCATGATGTGGTGCGGCACATAGTTAGGATACATCCTATTAAATGTTTCTGGGCCATCCACTATGTCAGAAATGGTCTGTGTGATACAGTAAATATGCAAAATATCGGTTTTTGGCTATAAATGGCTAATTCTGCAGCATATTTCGATTTCTGAATATAATTGAAGGATTTCTAGACCAATCCCCGTTAGAGATAGGCTCTATGTATCGAAAGGGAAACATCCAAAAAGAGTCCGAAGTGATCAGCTAGCCTATACCTCTCAAAGTACTCACTACACTGTTACTGACATTTGACTAGTGATCCTTTACTTGCAAACTCCAAATGAGCACTCTGTGCACTTTGAGAGGTATGGGCTAGCTGATCACTTCAGATTTTTTTTGGATGTTTCCCTTTCGATACATAGAGCCTATCTCTAACGGGGATTGGTCTAGAAATCCTTCAATTATATTCAGGTGGTAAATATAAACTGGGGAAGGGGGTGGAGAGGTACTTACCAAATCAATACCATTGTTCTCAATAACGAGTGGGCTGAATTGCATGAAACCAAGTACAGGGGGCCATGCGGGACATCAACACGCGTCGATCGACCCTGTAATGTCACAAATACACACAGAATTGAGTGAGAACAAGCGAATTTACGATAGAAGGTAGCAGGGGGTACTCACCAGGTCAATGTCATCGTTCTTGACAACAAATGGGCCGAATTGTTTCAAGTTAAGTATGGGAGGTGATGCGGGACATCAATATGTGTCGATCGACCCCGCAACATTGTAAACATACACGGAATTGGGTGAGAATGAGCACATTTACGATAGGAGGAAGCAAGGGGTACTCACCAGGTCATTACCGTCGTTCTCAATGACGGATGGGCTGAATTGTGTCCAATAAAGTATGGGGGGTGATGCGGAACATTAATTCATGTCGATTGACCCGCAACATTGTAAACGTACACGGATTTGAGTGAGAACAAACAAATTTACAATAGGAGGTAGGAGGGGGTACTCACCAGGTCGATGTCGTCGTTCATGACGACGAAGGGGCCAAATCACATCAAGCCAAGTATGAGGGGGCATGCGGGACATCAACACGTGTCGATCAACACCGCAACATCACAAATACACACAGACATGAGTGAGAAAGAGCATATTTATGATAGGAGGTAGGAGGGGGTACTCACTAGGTCGATACCATTGTCCTCGATGATGGGTGGGCCAAATCGCACCAAACCAAGAATGGGAGGCGATGCGGGACATCCAAATGCAATGATTGACTGTGCAACATCATAAATGTATGCAGAATTGAGTGAGAATGTGCAAATTTACAATAGAAGGGGGCAGGGGTACTCACCAGGTCAATGTTGTTGTTATCGACAATGAGCGGGTCAAATCTGATCAAAAAAAAGTGTAGGGGGTCTTGCAGGAGGTGTATATGCATCAATTGATCCAGATACATTGGAAATGTGTGCCAAACTGAGTGAGAACGAGCAATTTTACGGTTGGAGGGGTAATGGGGACTCACCAGGGTCAATACTGCCATTCTCGATGACGAGCGGGTCATTTCTTGCCAAATAAAGTACCAGAGACAATGCAGGACATCCATATGCATGGTAAGAGCCCCCCACTTCGGAAACACATGCCAATTCAAGTGAGAACGGACAATTTTACGGTTGGAGGGGTTAGTGGAGACTCACCGGGGTCAACACTGCCGTTCTCAACAACGAGTGGGCTGCTTCTCGTCAAACAAAGTACAGGGCCCGATGCAGGAGCTCAAGAAGCATCAATTGATGGTGCAACATCCAAAATGTACGCGGTATTGAGTGAGAACGTGCGATTTTATGATGGCAAGGAGGTGGGACTCCAAGCTCAGTTACTCACTGACAGAGAGTCGAGACCCATGAGACCCTTATAGAAACAAGTACACAGGATGAGCGGCACCACCATTGACGGTGACATGACGTGTCAATTCCATCACATAGTGGTGTACGCTTGGGGAAGTGGGAGAGAGTGAGGAGGAGAGCGAGGAGATAGAGTCGCTGGACAAACATCTGGCCTCCGGAAAGATCCGGCCTGGAAATACCGAATATGGCAGGTACTCTGGGAGAGTACCTGTGACCCCAGCATCAGACCTGTATCCGTGCACACACCCGTGGGAACGAGTATCTGTATCCATGGATACAGGTACCTGATGGTGTGCCTGACGAGTATCCATGGCAGGTACTCACGGGTCTTGGTACTCGTGGCATGCCCTGATTCTACATATACGCAGGCTCATTACCTAGGGTTTAGGTATGTGAACATGGATTACATCTTCTTGGCCAGCGTCATCGGCATCATCGGCATCATGCTCCTTGCCCTCGTCTTCTTGCCCTCGTCTCCTTGTACGATATAGGCTGCCAGTGGAGCATCAACTTCTGGGAACGGATAGTAGAGATGCCTGACTACCTGCAAATTTCTGAATGTGTCGTTAATGTTCTCTTCATTGTCCCGGCATTCCATCTTAAGGCCCATATTGAAAAGTGCAAGCCCCTTTTTTCTCCGTGGTTTTCTCGCCGGCTCGCGCAGATGGAGTTCGAGGCAATCAAGAGGATATGGGCGATCATAAATGGTATAGCATTCAGCATCAGGGAGATGAGGCCTGGACACTGGCACGATACCATCGACGACTTCTGCGGGTATGTAAAAGAGAGACAGAGAGGGGGGGAGGAGAGGAGGAAAGAGTGGTAGAGTAAGTGTGAGAACTCTGTGCCAGTCCATGACATGAGTTCCCACACTCTCAAAGTGAGAAGAAACAAGTCAGTATCAAGTTTAGAGAGAGAAAATGCGAAGGGGGAGTGAAGACAAAGAAAGTAGGATGAGAGGGGAGAGATGAGGAGGAAAGGTGAGAAGAAAAGGCAGAAGAGGAGAGAAAGGGGGAGGGTTTGGAGAGAAAATGGATGCAAAAAAGCAAAAAAAAACTCACATTTTATCCCAACAGTCTCCAGCTTTACTCCTGTGTGTACATGAACAAAAGGATGTGAGAGAGAAAGAATGAGGGCAGAGAAACATGAGGGGAGGAGGAATGAGAAAAAGCTTACCAGAACTTTAAAAATGCCCAAAAGAGCGAAATTTTATTGAAACATGAAGCATGCTGGGCTGAAGAATAATAGAGAAGAAAAGAGGGATGAAGGAGGGATGAAGAAGGAGGGATGAAGAAGGAGGGATGAAGAAGGAGGGAAGGGCATGAGAGAAGTAGGGATCAGAGAGGGATGGTGGAGAGACAGAGTAGAATAAAGGTTGAAAAAAAGCGAAAATTACACACCTCAGATTGGCCAAATGCTAACATATGCTCTTCTCAAAGCAGCTACACCCAGTAGAGGCACATAGCCCAGAGAGAATAGTGGGGGTGAACTGAGACCGTGGGCTTGGGGCTGGATACACCAGGACACAAGGTCACACTGAGTATGGTGAGAAGCAAAGGAGATTGAGTTAGGGAACTATTCTACGATACAGGTGGTTCTTATATACATCCTGAGCTGACCCTTTAGGGCACGCCCTCACTGTACACTACGGGTGAACACTACAGGAATCCTTCATGAATATCCAGTGGGTCCAGCAATGTGCACAATGGGTACAAACCGCTGAGTCAACATGCACAAGACTATTCTAGAACGTTCTAGACCTAATCACATGTCCCTACATCACGAACACAAGGTCACATGCCATCACGTGCCTACCACATGACTGGTCACGTGCCTATCCCTCTATCCATCCCACATCTCCATCGTCGAAGTGGCACCTGGGGCCACAATGCCTGCAAGGCGCGTACACTCTTTAGAAACACCGAGAAATAAAGAGTTAGGTTTAGCCCAAAGGCCGTTTCAGAACCTATGGTAGAAGGGAGGCACAAGATGGGTTAGCCGTTGCCCAGGCTAACAATCAATGAGAATACAGTACTCACCAAGTTTGATGGTCTTCATCCAGTTTCCTTCTTCAATCCTTCTCTCACCCTCTCTTGCATTTTCCCTACCCCTCACTTATCCTCCCTACCTTACTTCTTTGCCCTAGCTTATTCTCCCTTCATCTTTTCCTCTCTCTCTCTCTCTCTCTCTCTCTTTCTCTCATGTATTTTCTTTCCTTCTCCTTCTCCTTCTCCCTATCTTTTCTATCTGTCTCTTTCTTCTCTCTGATGTATATGTACAGGAGTGAGACAATATTGTACGTAGATTGTGTGATTATATATATTAATTTTGGTCTTCATCTGTGAACTGGCAAGTTGAGTGAGAAAGGCGTACAAAAGTAAGCTGGTGTAAAAACAACAAGTATACCTGTGAATCTACAGAAGTATACAGATGCTACAGGTGCGTAGTAGACAACTATAGAAACTATATAGCAAACACGTATTACATACCTTGTGATGCTGGCTATATGAGAACTCTCAATTATACGGGATCTTCTGGCTATATGGCCTAATATAGTAAGTATAGCCAGAACCTGATTTGCTGATGAGGCTTGTGCTCCTTCGTGGCCGGCTCAACCTTCGCATCTTTGTTTATTAGAAGCGTCAAGATCAATCTGGATACTCTATCCCGTGTATCCCAGGGGAGGGCTATGAGCTAGTAAAAAAGTGCGCTCTGGTTTTACATGAGCCTCGCATCGGTCAAGGGATGTTCAAGCTGTGGCTTCCCCCGACAGACTCTTCCTTTTCGGAGCCAGCCCCCAATCCTCCAGTTCCAGCCCACCTTGGATACCCTTCCCGACCTTCTGTGATGTGCATTGGTCACATTCCCTCAACTACTGAAGTCAGTTACTGGAGATATTGTGACTGGTAACAGTGTATCACCATCCTCATGTACAACATGACTTGGTTCCCTTCACCACCTCCGCAGACTCCGGTCCCCGTCTACGAAGATGGATATTGGGGGCCATACAAATACACCCTGTTAAGCATGCATGGGGCTACATTTGCACTATGCACATCTTACCTGTGCTTTAGTGAGCTGCTGTTGAGGCAATGCGAGTGAACTGGAAAGTTTGTTATTTTTCTATGTTACATACGTGGTCCTTATATACATGTAGCAATATAGATGAGAACATTATACTATAATAGTTCGTTGCACAGGCTTGCTGTGCGTCAAGTCATATCATGTCATATGGTGCAGTCATATGCACTCATTGTGTGAGACTGACATTCTCATGGGTGAGAGTACCCATGCATCATATGTGAACGTCTGAGCACAAGGCCCGAGTTCAACACACCCTCACTCCCCAGCCATTTGACCGACATGCCCCTTGGCTCATCTACATCCCTCTTCACCATCCTATTTTTCATCTCGAACTCCTCCATCATTGACACAAACAATTTTGGACGTCTGTCATCCGCGAAGTCACTCCAGATGGAAAGAAAGTTCTGCATACCACCAATCTGCAGACTCTGCACCTGGAGCTCTACCAAGAGATCTCGAGGACATGCTTTCGCCTCTGCCGCAAAGTATGCGACCTCCTCCCTTTGGTCCTCACCCTCCACAACTATCTCAATTGTGATGTCAACAGCAAAGACTTACCCCGTAATTTACTCACTCAGCAAATTTGATCAAACAAAGTGCAGGGGATAATACAGGAGGTGTATATCCATTGATTTATCTAGATACATCAGAAATGCACACCACACTGAGTGAGAACGAGCAATTTTACGATTAGAGGGGGTATAGAGTATTCACCAAAGTCAAGATTGTTGTTCTCGATGACGAGCAGGTAAAATCTCCTCAAACCAAATACAGGGTTCTATGACAGAGGTTGATACACGTCAATTGATCCAGCTACATTGAAAATGCACGCCTATTTGAGTGAGAACGAGCATTCTTACGGTTAGAGGGGTAATAGTGACTTACCAGGGTCAACACCGCCATTCTCAATGACGAGCGGGCTGTTTCTCGTCAAACAAAATACAGGGCCCGATGCAGGAGCTCAAGACGCATCGATTTATGGTACTACATCCAAAATGTACGCAGTATTGAGTGAGAACATGTGATTTTGTGGTGGCAAGGGGTGGGACTCCAAACTTATTCACTCAGAGACCCTTGAGATCCTTATAGAGCCAAGTACACAGGATGAGTGGCACCACCATTGACGGAGACACAACGTGTCAATTCCATCACACAGTGGTGTACGCTCGGGCAAGTGGGAGAGAGTGAGGAGGAGAGCGAGGAGAGAGAGTTGCTGGACACACATCTGGCCTCTGGCAAGCTCCGGCCTGGAAATACCAAATATGGCAGGTACTTTCCATGAGTACCTGTGAGCCCCGGCATCAGACCTGTATCCGTGTGCGCACCCGTGGGAGTGAGTATCTATATCCACGGATACAGGTACCTGATGGTGTGCCTGACGAGTATCCATGGCAGGTACTCACAGGTCTCGGAGTAGATGAAACAGCCATAGAGGCCCAATAGTTCTATTGTAGAGCAGAGTGAATCAGCCCCAGTAGATGAAACAGCCATAGAGGCCCAATAGTTCTATTGACTCCGCACCGCCCCGTCTATGCTCCCTCAACGGTCAATGACTGTCTTCCATTGCAGTCTCCGCAAACTCTGAGCGCACATGCTGAATCACTGCAAGTCTCTATTTTTTGTCACATTATGAACTGATTAACTCCAAAGTCCTTTCACTCATGAAATGATCCAACTTCTATCCGTATCCTGACATTCCCTGTCCACCACAACGAGTCCCAGTGCATCTCAGGGTCACCGAGTGTTGAGCTGCATGTGATTAACATAGTGATACTGCTCTCAGTACTTGCCTGCATCAGGAAATACATACTTTGCTATTAGCCTGACTACAAGGTGTCATAGCTATGATATTTGAAAAATGGATAATAGCACTCCTAGCTGTGATAGCAAGGTGGGGTATCTATCCCAAATTTGATTGCTTTCATATTTGCCTATAGCTCTCATAGGAGGACCTCAAATTTCTACTTATAAATTTGTGGTGACTTTTATCCAGAAGTATTCTCAGATATTCACACTCAGATATGGAGGTTCAGTTCAATTTTTATTTTCCTTCTCTATACTACATACAGCAGGAATACAGAGAATGTACACGGAGACAGGAGCAGCCTGGACATAAGAGAGACAGAGAGCATATAGAGCAGTGATCATTCTGTACAGCCTGTTGTCATATAGTATAAATCATTCTACCTGCATGAAAGAGAAGCCAACAGAGATGTAAAACATCTATAGGCTTGATTACCTCCTAGAAGGTAGCAATATCTCGTTGAACAGGAGATACAGTACGTTACCTAGTGAGACATTATATGACTGCTATGAGAGCTATAGCACTCACTCCTATTTGGGGTCAGGCACCCGGTGATCTATGACAGACCAGCACCGGCTATCTGAGCGATCAAATTATAAATAGAAGGGCATGCTTCTATATAGCAAAAACGTAATTTCCTGATGTGGACTAAGTAAGGGCTTTGGGTTAGCTTGCTGGTAGCATGAAGTATATCAGCAATTATCAACTATCATGACACGTATGGCACAGGGCATGCTACGAGTAGGGGCTGATTCACTCTGCTCTACAATAGCCTGTTGAGGGAGATGAGGATGATGATACGGGACATGCACCAGCTGTGGATGACAGTATGATACTTACATCTTGTTCCTTTTCTTTTGCCTCTCCATTGGAGAATTTCAGCTTTTTGGCTACTCAGTAGATAGTGTGTCCAAGATTCTCTATGCGAGCTTGCTTGGCACATTGTTTGCCCATGGTCATGTTGTGTGCTTTCTGGAAAGCTGGATTGATCACCGTTGCTGGCAGTTTTTTTTAATGAACCCAGTGATTCAAGTTAGATGCTCACTGTGCCACAACATCCACTTGCACCTTTAAAAACATTGTGCCAGCCTCTGAGACCGTTAACGCTGATTCTGGTCCCTAGAAATAATCCAGTACAGTTGAGTCTACAATTGCTAGGAGCTATTTCATTTTCTCAAGTTGTCTTTCTACAGCGCAATTGTTTTCTCGTTCAGTGTCATGCTCTCCCCAGCAAAAGTCCGCGAGATGAGCTCGAGCGTGACTGTGATGACTCACGTGATGTCCACGGTTTTGCCTGAGCTCTTAAGATAGGGTAAGTTCAGTTTTGGGGTCATCACGTGCCACGTGGCCTTCGTCGACGCTTGTGACGAGCTCAGTGATTGAACAAGACCAAAATATAAAAATTTGAAACCACAGATCTGTTCGAAATGCCAATTATCATACCCCTGCTATCTGTTTTATACGTGTGAAATTGAAGGAGGAGATAGTTTTCCATTTGTTTTCTTTCAATTTTATTTAGACCCTAGTTTAGCGCTTGTTCAGGGGCCTACGCCACACCGAAAACAATTGCACAAAAATACTTTATTATATTATCTCCTCCTTCAGTTCGTGTTCTACATGTCCCAATTTTTGTTCATGTATACTTCATTGAATTCAAAACAATTCTGTGGTTTCATATTCCCTACATTGTGCCCTGAAAGTTCTTCAAACTCATCACAAGTGTCCACAAAGGCCCTCTCGCCACACAAAGGCCACGCGGCACGTGATGACCCCGAAACTGAACTTACTCTATCTTACTCAGCGCGGGACCTTCAAATGTATCACTGCGGCGGAGGCTACTCTCCGGACACCCCAAACAGGAAACGGAACGGAATACTAAAAATAATGGCATAGGGTTGGGTTTCGAGATGCATGTATATAATATTGAGCGTGCCCTGAATGTCAACCGATTCTTTGTGTTCGGGTTTGTGACCGGTATTGGGTGAAGGAGCTCAGATTAATAAAACATAGTGCCTGGTAGAGAATAAAAGCAGCTTATGCCGAACAGGATACTATAGTCATTCCGGAACTTTGCGTTCCGAAGCCGGTATAGGATCCACAGAAGGGTTTGTTTGGCAAGGCCGGAATTCAATACGGCACTTTATGACCAGCAGGCGCGGTAATTTTCGTCGAGTCGATGCCAAAGATGAAATCAAGCCAATGAAATACTTTTTGTTCAGCAAGATGTTCAGAAGAAAGTAGACCTTTTGTCTGGTGTATGCGGAACTCAATACCAATTGTTTCATTACCGCATTTGATTGAGTGCACGCGAAGCAAAAAGAATAGAGCAGACAAAAAGATTAAAACAGGATCCGCTGTACATAAAGATCAGGATCCACTAAACTAATCGCCCGCTCATTGTTGGCTCTGGCGATGAGCGGGCATTCAGTTTAGTGTACACTGATCTTTATATACAGCAGCCGCTACACAAAGGATTCCGTTGAGGCTGTAACTTTTGCTTTGTGTATCCAAAACCAGATGCGGGTAATGATCAAACAGAAATGGATTCAGTATCCCCCGAATAAAAGGTTCCCTTTCTCCCTCTTTCATTACAATGCATAATATTTTGTGCCCGCCATGCCTTATCTTTAGCACTGACTCGATAAAATATATTGCTCCGGCTGAACACAAAGTACCGGTTTCAGTCCCGGCCCCGCCAGATAAATTCCTTCATGAGTCCTATATCGGCATCGGAACGCAAAGTTCCGGAATGAGGACAGCATCCCGTTCCGCAACGGCAGTTTTTGTGCTTCACCCGACTCTATATTTCATTAATCTGAGCCCCTTCACTCAATACCGGTCACAAACCCGAACACAAAGAATCGGTTGACATTCAGGGCACGCTCAACATTATATACATGCATCTCGAAACCCAACCCTATGCCATTATTTGTAGTATTCCGTTCCGTTTCCTGTTTGGGCTGTCCGGAAAGTAGCCTCCGCCGCCGTGTATGGCCAATCACGTCGACGCGACTACTCTTGTAACCTGTAACTCTGCCCCATCCCGCACGCCTCTTGCTCCGCCCTACAAAGGCTGTTCACTGGGTCACTGCAATGTCGTACCGATCTCGCCTGTCTACGTACGTTAATCGGTCTACTCGGGTACTCCTTGAGGAGGCTTCCAAAAGTGCGTTGTGCGTCTATTGTCACTAACGCATGAGTCGCTCACAGATGTTGACCAGTCGTTCATATGAAGGGTGCCGATCCTCCTGACCGTAAACCAATTACTCTCTTTACTATGAACTCTTTGGAAGACCTATCGCAATATGCAACTGGCTGCGATGCAGACGTTGGTGGCACTTCTACCGCACATTTGGACCTCGACGAAGATCCCTCTCGAAATGGACTCATCAACAAAAAAGCAACCGCAAGATTCTGGGGAGACATGCGGCTTGGTGTGCGCCCGGGGCTAGAGAGCAGAGTCCGTGGAGGTTATGCAGGCTTCCGCAATAAGGTACGCCGCCCTTGACTCTCAGCAATGACAGCGAATCTAGTACATCTCTTTACACTGCGTGGACGTTTCTCTTCTCGATGCAGCATCGGCCATCACTCTTCGGAGAGATAACCAACGATGTCTCCCTTCATCAATTCCTTGCCCTGCGCCTTCGTGCTGGAGGTCACCCTCGGACGCGCAACTCCTATTTTGTCAACGTCCAAACAGATACCATACCTTCCGCCGCAGATATCTGGCAACACAGGCTGCATTTCAGCCGCACAGACGGAGGTTGGGAGGAAGTTTTTGTGCGTTTCATATTTGTCGACTACCTTTCCTCGCTGCTTTAAACACATCTTCCGGCCAGATACCATTTGATGCCTTCGTGCTCACAAACGCAGGGGAGATAGCACCCTCTCAACTTGTCATGAACAGAGGCCGAATCCGCACTGTAGGGGTCTCGTTACTCGGAGGCAACTCTGGCATTGAAGGCTCATACGAACTGGGTATTGATGAGATCTGGGCGGTCAACGAAGAAGATGTGACTGTGGCACCTAGTCAGTTTTAGTCCTTTCATGTCTCCTCCCACATTTTGTGACTTCGTCTCTTCAGATGCTGATTCTAGTAACGGGACACGGTGGGAGCGCGGACCTCTGTGATGCAGCAGCATATACGAAGACGGTGTTGTCTCCTTTCGACAGAGAATATGCCCATCTCGCAGTGGAGATGGTGTTTGAACTACGAGCCATCATGTACTTCGACTGGAATCGGCAAGCCGACTACATCCTTTCATGCTCTCAGCGATGAATCTTATTAGCTGCCAGTTTAATCATGAAGAGACTGAAATGCTAAAAATCCATTGGGGAGGCAAGATGACGCGTGTAACAGGGGCAGACACAAGGAGGTATCGAAAACGAGTTTATCGTTGAATGAAGCCGGTGAAGCGAGTGAACACTGAAGAAATATCCAGAAATATATAACAACGAGAATGATAATTACGGTCAAAACAAAAAGATATGGGTAACTGCGGGACCGAGAAGGAGTAGTAGAGCAAGTATGGTGCGCTGAGCGCACGAGGAAAGGTTCACGCCACGATACAGCCAGAACAGCAGCCAGATGTCCCCTGATCCATGCCATCGGGATGGTTGTACACGCCAGGGGCACCAGGTCCGTTGGGCTGCACAGGACGACCGGTTTGTTGCTCCTGAACAAAGGGGGAAATTGTACCCATGTGAGTGACACTGAACTCAAATTCGCAACTTACGCTTACCTTGTTATATCTCCGGATCTCACGGACGAGGTTGGAGAACGCCTCATCGACATTGATGCGCTGTTTAGCGGAGGTTTCAATGAATCTGCAATTGAAATGTTTGGCGAGATCGCGCCCCTCTGAACAGTGGTTTAGTCGAGGAAATTTGATGAATCGAAGATGAAGACTCGCCATTCATGCCAACTTGGCGCTCGTATTCAAGATCACATTTGTTAGCTACAACAATGACTGGGAAGGAGTCCTTGTCCTTGACACGAAGAATTTGCTGGTGGAATGTGCTGATCTCCTCGAACGAGTTGCGAGAAGTGATGGAGTAGACGAGTAAGAATCCTTCGCCAGTGCGCATGTATTGTTCTCGCATAGCCCTGTCATTCAGATGGGTAAGTTATCTGACGAAGGCACCCAGTGTGACATGCAGTCGTGAAAGAGAAGCGTGATTCCAAAGGGTGTGAAGTATAACAGCGGAAACCCGGCGGCTAATAACAAAACGAGATCATGATGAACATGAACACTCACCCATACTCCTCCTGACCGGCGGTGTCCAAGACGTCCAAAAGAGCGACTTCGTCGTCGATCACACATTGCTTCCTGTACGAGTCTGCAGAAGAGGGAATGAGGCGACAGGAGAGAGGCATCGTCAGGAGGAGAAAGGCGCACCCTCGATAGTTGGGTCGTACTCATCCACGAAGTGGCTCTGAATGAATTGAATAGTCAGAGCTGACTTTCCGACACCTGAAAGTTTGACCCATCAGCTTGCACAAAGTGGGCACTCGACAAAAGGCAGAACAGACCACCGCCGCCAACGACTACGAGCTTGTACTCTCGGAGGAACTGGGCCTGATAAACGGGCAAAGTGAGCACATGTTGAGAGGACTGCGAGATGAGCTAGTACGCACCCTGGACATAGTGAAGACGGGCGACTGGAGGTTGCAAGGGATAGAGGGGCGAAAGGAGGGAGGAAGAACGTGGGCCGGGCAAAGACGAAGGCTTGGTTGGCGATGAGACCTTTCCCATCCCGGCAACGGCCGGTGCCTTCGTCATCAAGCTCACGGTCCTACTGACAGCGATTAAGGAAAGTCGCTCAGTTCACACATGTAAGGTCCACTATCAATGATATTGAACATCAATAAATATTCAGGATCGTAGGTAATATAAGTAAGTAGGCCGTCTGAAAGCTCGTGCTTGAGGCTGCCGAACGAACAAGTAGTGTAAGTGTAGTACAACAATTGTGAATAGTCGGTCCCAGAAATCGCACCGTCATACACTCACGCACTTAGTAGTAACTCACAGCAACCTATAAATATCCGTACAGCGTCGATTTCCCTTCAGACCTTGCTGATGCGCCCAATGTCATCGCCACCAAGCCTGTCCGTGTCGCAGTCTCCAAATGGGGCGTTGTCGAAACTACCTTTCGGACCGTGGCGTGCACATCGGACACCACAATCTCGTGGTTCATTATACCACTGGAGCTCCCTTCATCAATATTGGGGCTCATCCCCGACGATATCACAGGGGGCATTGCAGGGTCTACGGAATTTTCGCTCATTTTCCGTTGGCCTGACCGAAATGTGTATGACTTCTCGCGCCGCATGCGAACGGTGGGCAGGCGCGGCTGTAGCCCCGCTGGAATAGGGTCGCCACGACCTCCATCCGCGTTTCGGGATGTTTGGGAAATCTTGGAAGATGAACCTGCGACGTCCATAGGCGCCGTCACGGGCTGCCCGCGAGTGCTCGTCGCGGCTGTTGCAACCAAGGACGCGAAGGTCAAAGAAGACATGATGTCGACCTGAGTTGACGAGGATGATTCCGCCGCTGAGGATGGATGAGGAGAGATGGGACCGTAGTGAGGGGACAATGGAGAGTGCGGTGGGCTCTGGGGAGATGGTGTTGTCGACGAATCATAAGGGGCATCAATGTCCAAAGGTGCGACGTCCACAATTTCGTCTTCCTTTTCAGCGCGGCGTTGTCTGACCTCTTCAACCTTGGGTCGATCTGATAGAGGCTGCGAAGGAGGCCCCTTCGTTGCCGCGACAGAGGCCGAAGTCTTGAACGTCGGTTGGCCGGGAGTGACTGGATCTCTGTGACTTAAGGGCAAGGAAAATTTCACCCGCTTGATCATCGTGGCCCGACGAGACTTCCCGGGAAGTACAGGGGCAGATTCATCGACCGGAGTCCTCGAGAGATATAGATTCAGCAGCGAGCCACCCGATTCCGAGGACGAGGAGAGCCTTGGTGAGATAGAGGCAGGCACTCCCGAGCTTTCAGGGGTGCCTTTGACCGCAGTCCTTGGTAGGGGTGATGCCATTCGACGTGGGGTCGAAGGTAAACCAGTCATTGTTTTGGGATGTAGAGGCCTTGATCGAAATTGTGAATTGAGTTCCCGTTGTGGTACATGATCTGGCACCAACGAAGACGTAGAGCGACGGGTTGTATCAATTCCGGCAATGGGTATTGGCGTGATTGGACGTTGCAGCAGCGGAGTTGTCATAGGATTCGACATGATTCCTGTATACATGTGGCCAAGTTTGGAGGCAGGCGCAATGAGATGAGTGTTGGAATCTGCGATCGACGATTCTCTCGAATGCAAGGAACCTTGTGACCCGACAGCGGTGTTTGAACCCGAGAGAGATGAAGTACTTCGAGTATACTTTGATGGAAGACTGCCCAAATTGTCGAAACTGCGTTTAGGAGGTGGAAAAGAGCGCGACTCTCGTGGGGGAACGCTTGTCGACTGTAACTCTTCGACTGGAGAAAGCTTGACTTCGACGTTTCCAAAGCTTTCCGTATCCGACCCTTTCGATGGCGACGATAATGTACCGATAACCGGGCCGAAGACCTGGAGGACGGTGTAAAGCGCAAGGACACTACCAAGACCTGATGAAGACTACGTTGGTGTTGAGGTACTCCAAGGGAAATGAAATATTGCTTACCGAATAACAATTCTGCGACCATGGCGAACGACATAGAGCTGACAGAAACGGGGAATCCTGAGATGAAGATGAGCTGTATGATGGATGAGGGCACCCAGAGTAAAGTGAACACTAAATGGTGGTCAGTTTGAGCCGATCGGGATGAAGACGGATGGGCTTACCGAAAGGAAACCTGTAGTCTCATGTATAAGTGTGTGATCTTGTGTAATTCAGTGAAGTGTACATACCACAGTAGACGACGGGACAGCGCGTTAACGAAATGCCTGTAATCTTCCAAGGGGCCTGACATCCCGAGCCAACGCTGTTCAGCGTTCAACTGTAATCTCATCCCACCGTTCATGACTAGAGTACCACGCAAAACAAGAAACACCGCAGAGTAGGCAACAGCGGACACGAAGGCAGACAAGAACGGCTGGAAGAAGAGATGAGAGTTCGATATCTGGCGAGGTCAAAGATTGACTCACAGGGAGAGATTGCAGAAGAAAGTGCGCAACCGGGTATTGCACAGTAATGCCGCATTCAAAACCTATGTTGCCGTAAATAGGCCCGTCTGCTGGTGTGGATATGAAAGCGGGAATGACGCCTGAAAAGTAGGATACAGCATTTGTAAGTCAACTTCCGTCTACAATCATGAGATGTACGACGAGCCTATAAGAATCGAAAACAGCCATCCGCAGAGAACAACTAGCACTATCATCCATAGAGGCTGGTGGAACTTGAGCACGAGGGAATTGAAAGTGTGTATGCCCATCGTCAAAATGAAGTATGAGGTACTGAAGTTTCCAATCTGATGTATGACGGCTGATAGAGGGATCAGAAAGGCGCTAGACTGGTGACAGCGCGACTGAATTCACCTTGTGCATTGCATAATGAACCTACAGATCAGAACGGTGTCAGCGGGTGAGCAACGAAAAACACTGTTAACTAGTTACCATCCGCAATCCCGTCCATCATAACAAAACCGACGCTGAGCACACCGCTGAGACCAGTACAGAGACTGCTCAAGAGCAAGCAAAAAGTATATACTCCAAGATGGGTTCTGAAGAAGAATCCTTCTCGTGAAAGCTTGCTAGTTTGGCTCGCGAAGATCCAAATTGTTCTAGCCAGAACCACAGAGTTCGCCATAACGGACAAGAGGCCGAAGAGGACAACCGCCTGTTGAAGTTGTCGTGAAAGGTCACTATAATTGCTCTCCTGACCAAATAGGATATCACGTACTATGGCGCCTGACTTTTGGTCTCTTGAGAATCTGGTCAACATAGACGACAAACAAAGTAGTGTACGTCGTTAGTAGGTCGTGCTTTGGATGTCGTCCTGCAGGGACAAGTCTGTGCCAGACAGGTGAAGAGGGGAAAGAAATAAGAGAACGAAAACAGATGCACAAAGAATGACGAATGAACTGAAAGAACGAAAGGCTGCCCCGCGCCTGGCCAAAATCGTCAACGCTGTCGATGTTGGGCGTAAAGGGACGGGACGCGGAAAGGAGGCCCGCAGAACACCACCTCGCAGAGTGTGCTACAGTCTGCATGATATAGTCGGAATCAATCTCATCAATTCCGTACCCACGTATCATGATGCGGTCGTCACAACCACGGGACACAGTAGTCCTCGGCTTTATGTATCTCTATGTTCATCGCATCGACGTGCGTCGTGAGCCACAGAAATGAGATGGCCACCAAGAAGGTCCTCTCCGCTACTCGAGGCAAATTTAGCAGACAGACCAAAAAAAACCCTTACTCGACCCTTTTCCAGGCCGCTGATACCCCACCATATCAAGCGCAATGCAAGCAAAGTGTTTGCAGGGAGACTGATGCCTCTCACGAGCTTCCATGACCATCATTGTTGCGATCACTAGCAGCCGCGCATGCCATTTGTGACAATGCTGGGCCAGTCAGTGTAAATGATGTAGTTTATCCAAACGTACGTGCTGACAAGCCTGTCATTGAGTGCTTGCAGATACTTCGAGAGCAAACCGGTAGGCGAAATACTCATAATGGATAAATCAAAGAAAATAGTCAGATAATTAGAAAGCCCCCAACCCCTCATAGATGCATCTCAGGGGGTCTGCTAGGCCATCTGATTGCCTGAGCGCCACTTGTCAGCTGGAGATGGTAGAGGGAGAGGAATATGTTACGATTTTTCCAATTTATGCATTATAAGCTTTTCGACTATAATGCTCTTTCGGGACTATTGAAACCCTGCTGTAGCGTTTCTTAGCAGAATAACACAGGTGGTTGTTAATGTGTAATAAGTTGTGAGACGCCTACCCTCGAGTACGGAGCGCGGCGACCGATTATTCTACCTCACCGCGGGTGCATGAGATCTAGAGTTGATCTCGCACAAATACATAGAACACGACTTCGCGGAGGCCAGGACGGTTGATCGACTTCTTGAATGAATTTCATGTATGAAGCAGGTAGGTTGGACCGGCGATAAGCAAGGTGGCCCTAAATAGGACGTAAAGGCGTCGACGCATATTATAGTGGGTGCTAGATCTAGATATCAACCAAAGCGAGTGGACAGTAAGTCAAAGAAGCGGTGCGCATAATTTACAACAGATATACGGCAGACAGGGTCCCATGAATGCAATAGTGAGACTATCCTGACCATGACGCTTCCGAAAGCCACCGAGTCGTGGCAGATATCGACTCGGCTAGGTCGCCTGTGGACGCGCAAAGTACAGGTGCCACCGGAGGATCACTGCGGTCGACATTCAGGCTCAACGCCTTCATCGTCATCGTCGTCATCTTCCCAAGCACCCTCGTCCTCACCGAACTGCGATGCAAAACCCTGGTCAAAGAAGTCCGACCCGGCAGGGAAAGACCGAGAACGCACTTCGACCACGTCAGTCTCCTCGTATGCGGCCTCATCAACGATTTCCGGCTTCGGGTCGACGTCGACCTTCTTCGGTGGAAGCAAAGACTCGAGTAACTGATCATACGGACGGTCAGACAAGCACGGTGAAGAGTTCAAAAGAGCACGTACTTTACGGTCAATGCCCTGGAGCCATTGCTCATCAGGCATTTCGACGTCCAACATGACGTAGAGGTTACCTCGCTCATCTGGTCTCTTGTGGATAGGCATACCCTCCCCACGAAGTACAATGGCCTGTCCTGGCTTGATCGCCTTCCCTGATGGGCTCGCCACCTGAATCCCACGACCATCTAGATGGTTGAGTAATATGCGATTGAAACCTAGGAGGGCCTCAGAGAGCGTGATCTTCACGGTGGTGAGCAGATCGCTGCCGGAACGTTCAAAGGACTCGTGAGGAAGAGATTTAAGAACGAATATGACGTCTCCGGCAGGAAGACCAGGCTAATTCGAGACATGTCAGTTATCATGGCACGGTGTGGCATGCGCTTGCATGAGCACCTACCTGCTGATCACCTGCACCCGCAAGGACGATACGTTGACCATCACTCATCCCGCGTTCTACAAAAATTTCTTGCCGTTTCTTGTCCTTGACGACTTTGTCGCCCTTGCACTTTTTGCACCTGGAGATCGTCAACATGCGAGCTCTACTCGGTATACGAGATACGTACCTGTCCTTTTCTCGTAGTTTTTCGCCCTCCCCGTCGCAATCTGGACAAGCAGCTCGAGATGTTCCTAATCGTGTCGAGGATATCTGTCGGACATTGTTAAAAATAGTTCCCACAACTCAAACACACCACTTACTGGAGTTTGAACGTGGGTCCATCCTTTCCCTTCGCACTTGACGCATTTTTTAGGTTTGGCATTTCCTTTAGCCCCCGACCTTGTGAACAGCATCCAACCTGGTTTTAGCCAAGATACTAGAGAGATGAGGAGGTGACGTACCCTTTGCAGACCCCGCAGACGATCTCCTTTTCCATCATCATCTTCACGCTCTTTCCGCTGTAAAGATCCTCTAATGTGACCTCATACGGAATTACCGAATCTTGGCCCTTAGACCTTCTTGAATACCCTCCCGGCATTCCTCCATCCATACCGCCAAAATCGAACCGCATTCCAGCTCCGCCTCCAAATAGTTCGGCGAAGATGTCGTTCGGATCCATACCGCCAGGACCGGGACCACCATGGCCACCACCGATGCCTTCCATTCCGTAGCGGTCATATGCTTCTCTCGAGTCGGGATCGTTGAGTATCTCGTAGCTGAAAAAGGAAATAATTTGAGGAGGATGTGAGATTGAGACGAGCCATGGACATACGCAGCAGCCATCTCCTGGAATTTTGCAATGGCATCGGGGTTGTTTGGGTTCTGAGATGAAGGCTCCCGGTCGATGATCCGGAAACTTTCGAGACGGGTAAGCACTCACCTTGTCCTACAACACCTTACAGACGTCAGAATACAGCATGAGGTATGATGGAAAGCGCTGATGCATACCGGGTGGAGATCCTTCGCCTGTGTAAAGATTGAAGTCAGAACCAATCTGGGGATGAAAAGTGCAAATAACGACCTTTGTTCGATAGGCTTTCTTGATCTCACCTGAGATCATACAACAAACTGAGAATGACAACATTGCTTGTAAAGAATGTTCTTCACCTTCACTGGCTATAGTAGACACGCCTAACAAGTCGTAAAGGTCGCTCTCGACAGGCACTGTCAAAAGGTTTAGCTCATTAAGAATCTGAGGGTCTATGAAGTACGGAGAGACTGCCTACTGATAGACTTGAAGGTCAACGTTGAATTCGGGACAGCACGCGTGCAAGTCGCGCGTCGCGGGAAATTTCGGCGGAGTTCGAAATACGTGCGCTATAAGTGTAGGGTCAATTTTCTGTTACTTAACCTCTCTGTTCGACTTCGTCTCACCCAAGGCGGTGAGTAGTTTTTGACACTTTTCTGATGTTGGCGATCATGATGCTTCTACATAAACTTATCTACATTGTCTGAACGAGTTATACTCGAAGACGAAATCATTCTATGTTTCTGACCTGCCTTCATCCGTTGATTTCCCTAACCCTCCCTTCATGAACTGACGTACTCTCCTCTTTAACAGGACGGCCAGTTCTCTCAGCTGTTACTTGTGGTTATCAGAAGTGGCTGATTCATCTTATGCATGTTATATCCCAGTGTTGCTTCGTCCATGGAGTGCGGACACTAACATTGTTCCATCTGGTTAGCGCGTGAATAATGAATTTCTATTTTGAAGCCGCCGACGCTCTTGACCGGCTCGATGCTAAGCAAGGCTCAATAAAGAGCATCATTAACACCTTGCCAGCGAAAGACCGCAAGCGTAGCGCTGCTCTCGTTATTGAGACACTCAAATGTGAATACGAAATGTTACCGCCGTCAGTTCTTCCTCATAGCTGATACTTCATCTTATCAGACAAAGCTGTTCTGCTTGATGTCATATCAGCTGCAAAGATTCTCGAGGAGCGGAAAATCACCTCTAAAAACCTAGCTTTAGTATTAGTCCACGATCTTTTGCTCTCCCGAGGTATTCAGGCTGGGGATGGCCCCGTCAAGCAGGCGATCTTGAAGCATAAGACCAGACTGCGCAGCGAGTTCCAAAGAGCGAAGATCAAGCGAGGCGTACGATCCGACGAAGAGCTCGCTCAGACAGACGATGTTCGTGCTGGTGAGTCTTGGGGCCTGCGTAAGGTATCCACGGCTACTAAACCGACCTTGTCAGCACGGATCCCGCGCTACGTTAGGGTCAACACCTTGAAGTCCACGCACGAAGAAGTCGTGAATGTCCTACAGTCACGAGGATATCAGGTTGGAGATCCTCTGCAGGCAAAGTAGGTGTGTCTATCCGTTTCTTTTCCTTCGGAAATGCTGACAAAATGAAGGCACTACGCTCTAGACGAACATATCCCAGAGCTCCTATCGTTACCACCAAACATCCAGTTCCATGACGATCCGCTGTATTTCTCAGGAAAGGTTGAATATCTCTCGTTCTGTACCTTCTCGAACCAAGCTCATTCATCCACATGGTATCTAGATCATTCTACAGGACAAGGCCTCATGCTTTCCTGCCGCCGTTCTAGCTCCTCCAGCAACAGACACCGCTGTAGTAATAGATGCCACCGCTGCACCGGGGAACAAGACGTCACACTTGAGTGCTTTAATGCGAAACAAGGGCAAGGTATGCCTCCACCACCTCTCTTTTTGTGTTTAATGTCTGTGTTGCTGATACTTCTGCCTCCCAGTTATTCGCATTTGAGCGCGACCGAAAGCGGTTTACGACACTACAAAGTATGCTCAGCAAGGCTGGATGCAAGAATACGGAGGCCCTCAATGTCGACTTCACGAACATCGAGCCAACAAATTCTAATTACTCACAGGTCACCCATATGTATTTTTTTCACCCTTTATATTCATCAGAAGTACAGTCAGTAACCATACGTCCAGCCTCCTGGACCCTTCATGCAGCGGTTCCGGCATCGTCAATCGGCTCGACTATCTTCTTGATACCGGTATGTCGTTCACAGGAAAGAAAAATGTTCGTGACTCACACAACTCACACAGAAGAAGAGACGGACTCGGTTCATCAAGACCGCCTTAGCAAGCTCTCTGCCTTCCAGCTCACGATGATTAAGCATGCCATGAAGTGTCCGTCCGCTTTCTATCCTTTCGTGGGAACGGATTGTTCGAACTCATTCTTGACATGTAGTCCCTTCTGTGCAGAAAATTGTGTACTCGACATGCAGCGTACATGCCGCTGAGAACGAACACGTCGTTCATCAGGCTCTCAATAGTGAGGAAGCCGCCTTGGGTCATTTTGTCCTCGCTCCCCGTTCGCAGGTTTTGCCTTCTTGGCATAGAAGAGGCCTACCATCAGACATGAAGAGCGACAACCCTGGTACGTCGCTGCCTCTCCTGATCTCTTGCCAGATCTGCCATTTACTCAGCCATGCGCAAGCAGATGATGCAGACAGTCTGATACGGTGCTCCCCGGGAGAGGACGCTACGAACGGCTTCTTCGTGTCATGCTTCGTGAAGAGCATTCCGGACCAAGCGCAAGGGAGCTTACATCCTGAGCACGAGTCATCCCCTCCATCTAGGACTATAGAGCTCGTCAAACGGAAACGGACGGAATCTAATGGTCTGACCGGTGATAGTGGGCAAAGTAGTGGTACTAAAAAGAAGAAGAAGAGGAAAACTCGGAAAAGCAGTTTGGGACAACCTCCAGCAGCAGGATCGTAGCATCACTTCGTATTCCGTCTTGGACCCATCCAAATGATCTCGGATTGATGAATATCAATGCTTGATGCACGCACAAACCCCAAATACAGGCTTGATAAATTCCTTCCGGTGTCGAGGCATGTACATATTGATCGAGTCAAGGTGAACAGAGTCGTCAGTCATTGCTACACGTGTAGAAACTGGATACTAGGCGAACAGATGCGGACATGAGCAGTTTTGTCATGACCACTGTCGGATGAGACATGAGTATAAGGGACGAATGAAGGTGAATCGCTGGTAGACAAAGTAAGCGACGCGTGCGACTTTATGGGAGAAAATATCAGTTCATGACGGCAGAATAGAACATCGGACAGCACATACGCATAGGGAGGCCAAGACAACGAGTGGAAAAGGAAAGGAAATCAGGAAATAATAAGAAGGATCAGGGAAGTTGTCGTTGGTCAGGAGCAAAGAGGGGATCAATGAGTTGGAGTGCCGGTCTGTTGGGCGTACTGATTCTGGTAGTATTGAGCATAATTGTAGTCCTGTGGCGCTTGGTAAGAAGCAGGCTGCTGTTGATACCCACCCCATGCTGCTTGGGGGCTGGCGTCATAGCCTCCATACCCGCCGTACCCTTGCTGAGGAGCACGATAGCCACCGCCACTGGGAGGTCCACTGCCATGGGTAGCGTTCTGATTCTGGTTGACGTTGGTCTGCCACACTTCAGGCCGACGCCAAGGAGGGATGTTCGAACCTCCACCTGTGATGTCGTGCCCTCCGCTGCCAGCTGCCCATGAGCCCTTCGCCAGATCAGCACCGCCCACTGCCCCAGCCCCACCTCCACCACCTCCTCCACTCTTGCCAGTTTCACCTAGCTCGGCCATCAAGCTTGCATACTCTGAATCAAATCCACCTTTCCCGACGGCCATGGACTGCGAAGGACTTCCGTAGGCAGCTGCATTCGGATCTTTGTTGACGGTGCAGTCGCGAGCCATATGTCCAGCGCTACCACAGACACGACATATGATGTTAGCGGTAAAGTTCCGTTGTTCAGGGCAGTCGTATTTGCGATGGCCGACGCCCCCACAGTTCTGGCATATCTGGTTCTCGTCGTCACGAAGGGTGCCGTTCAGGGCGGCAAGTTCGCGGAGCTGATTACGCTTGTGATCGTTCTGGCCTTCTGGGGTGGACGCGGCCTATCATAGAGCATGATGAGTATATATGAAGTAGTGTCACGGCGGGTCAGAGAATATCTTACAGTTTCTATGACCTTATTGATCAACCTAACGCAAGATGCCACCTTCTCCTCCGAATCGGCGAGGACAAGGCAATGAAGATCTTCTTCAGCATCCTCCGCGTACTGATCAGGACGAGTCTTGCCTTCCTTGACACTACCCTTGCCCCGAATACTGATCTTAGCCCCGCTCTCCCTCTCCATTTTCTTCAAGCTGTTACCGCGAGGACCGACGAGAAGACCGAAGAAGTTGATTTCAGGGAACTCCTTGACGGGTATGTAAACCTTTTCAGAAGGACGTTGGGAGCGCTTTTGTTGGTGGTATTCGACGGGAGGGCGGAAGCTTGGGTCATTCTTCATAGCGCGATCTACGAGACGAATCCGCTCATCCTCCAATTTTTTGCGGTAACGGACTTCGCGAGTGTTGGTACGACGACCATGGGCGTCATAAGTGGGAGGAGGAGAGGGAGATCTAGCGAAAGAGATCAGATCGTACGTATGGCAAGATATAAAGAGGGCGAATACAAACCGCTCGCGCTCCGGAGGAACGTAGTCATTAAGTCTTAGTTTTCGGTTTATCTCCTCCAAGCGAAGATGGATAGCATAGTTGTCGAGCTGCGCTTGGGAGACACCGGCCGCATTGATGGCAGTAGGCAAACCTGGAAGCTCAGTTTTGGCCTCGCCCCAGCGGCTACGTCTTTTTCGAGCACCATTAGGATCAGCTAATGTGAGAATTTTTTGGGTTAGTATGTAGACCGGGTCAGTAGAAGAAGGTCAGAGTAGGATAGGTCAGAGAGTGTGAGTGTGGTCAGCCTCATTTGTCTGCGATGGATGAAGCTGATGCTCGAGAAGTGAGACTGCGCGTGTGCGTGTAGGAAGCTGACGCAGCGAAAGGAGGAGATATTACGACTCACGAGGGGCAGGAGAGCCGGTCTGAGATGGGGACTCTTCTTTGGGACGTCGCTCCTCGTGCTGGGATGGACGAGGATAGGCGGAAGGAGATGGCTGAGCAAGTTGCGGCGGGGCTGTTTCTTCTGCGGGGGGTGGACCAAAGCGACGACGATTCCCGAGGGGGACTGCAGAAAGAAGGTTAAAATACAGTCGACGACAGGGAACAACATGCTTACCTTCGTTCGTCCCGGTGATCTGACGCGTTGCGGGTCTCCACATGACTGAAAGTGTACGGTGAGCAGGTCGTGAGCGACAGCGAGCAGGGCTTTTGTCGTCGTCGACGCGAGCGTTGCGGCCACTGCCGTTCTCTGCCGTGTCTTTCGTTTCCACTCCGACGATTACATAATTGGCGCGTTGCGCGACTCATTAACGCATGCGCGTGAAGCTCTGTCATACTCTGTTCTGCTCGAGTCGACGGCCACATCCTTCACTCCGGTTTGCATCTTCTCTCTCCGCTCATCGCGAAACACAGAATCAGCGTCGCTTCTGGAATGTCAGGCAAACGCCCAGCTGATGGTATGCGAATCGGACGGCCTCTTAGCTTGAACCAACCTTGACCTTCGTGCAGATAGCGCATACCCCTCCTCGTCTTCCAAACGCGCGAGGCAATCCCGTCCTACTGATGCAGATGCTTACCTTGATGTCGACGACGACTCCAATGCTGCAAACTCCATAGACTCTTCACTCGTTCCCCGCGGTGCCACAATAAACCTCGGCGCCCTCACCCGCAAACTTGCTCAGGAGCGTCGTGCTGCCCACGCTGCCGACAACGACTCTTCTCTCAGTGCCCACCGAAGGCAGCAGGAAACCCTCGTTTCGCATATTTTCATGGATCAGGACTTTTCGTGGCTTCATTTAAAATCTGATCACGCCTCTCGTCCTCTCTGGATCAGCCCGGAAGATGGTCATATCATTCTCGAGGCGTTCTCTCCCATCGCCGAACAGGCGCAGGACTTCCTTATCGCCATTAGCGAGCCCGTCAGCAGGTGTGTTTGTAATGTCTACATGTCTGGACAGCTTTCTAAATCTCCACAGGCCGAGTTTCATCCACGAGTATAAGCTCACGTCATACTCTCTGTACGCCGCTGTCTCTGTCGGCCTACAAACGGAGGACATCATCGAGGCATGACTCGAATAGCTTTTTTTTTTGATATCAATGGTCTTCTCATATTCGTGTCTTTCCATCCTAGGTTCTTAATCGCTTGTCGAAGGTGAATACAATGAGCACCTATTCCTTCACCATCGTCGCTAACACTAGACTAGGTTCCTGTGCCGGAAGCAATCACGACATTCATTCGCGAGCGTACACTCTCGTACGGCAAGGTCAAGCTCGTCTTGAAACACAACAAGTACTTTGTAGAATCGAGTCATCCAGATACACTCCAACTGTTACTGAAAGACTCGATCATCCGCAATGCTCGAGTCACAACACAAGCAACGGACAGCAAGATGACGACGTTCACGACTGCAAAGGCCCCTGTCAAGGGAAATCTAGTCATTCCAGGAACCAAAGAGGCCGAAAAGAAGAAGGACGATGCATCGAAAGGTCCTGTACCAGCGGCGGGGAATGCGGATGCAGACCTTTTTACTTCCGTGGTCGGTGTCGAGGGTGGTGAGTCCCCATTCCAAATGCGAGTCTCTGAGATTGTCAATGTTCCTCGTGTCTAGACGAGATCGACGAGGACGACGACAACGTTCACGCTTTCCAAATTGATGACGCCAAGATCGACGTAAGTGCATCTTCGTAATTTGCCTTCTCGATCTTACTCAAACGCGGGACGCTTCTCAGGATGTGAAAAAACGGTGTAATGAACTGGAATATCCAATGCTCGAGGAGTACGACTTCCGTAACGACACCGTGAATGCCAATCTCGACATAGATCTCAAGCCAGCTACCGTCATCCGACCGTATCAGGAAACAAGCCTGAGTAAGATGTTTGGTAACGGGTACGTCGGCATTCTGCCATACGCTCGGGCCACTTCACTGACTGCAGTGTCACCGCACAGTCGTGCGAGATCAGGTATCATCGTGTTACCGTGTGGGGCCGGGAAAACGCTTGTTGGGATTACCGCTGCCTGCACTATCAAGAAATCATGTCTGGTGTTATGCACGTCGTCGTATGTAGTTATGATCCTCTATCGTCCGTACTCTAACACCTTTGGTTTCTATCAAAGGGTGTCCGTCATGCAATGGAGATCACAATTTATGCAATGGTCAAACGTGACTGACCGTCAGATTGCTGTCTTCACCGCCGACCAGAAGGAGAAGGTCCGTCCCCGTCTGACTTGAGTCATCACTGTTCTCATGGGCCTCGTATTACGACCCGAAGTTTGCAGGAGATAGTGGTATCGTTGTGTCTACATATTCGATGGTAGCGAACACAGGGAACCGCTCTTACGAGTCTAGGAAGATGATGGAGTTCTTGACCTCTCGAGAATGGGGTTTCATCCTTCTAGACGAAGTTCACGTCGTGCCAGCGGCGATGTTCCGACGCGTAGTGACGACCATCAAGGCCCACTCTAAGCTCGGTTTGACAGGTGCGTGCGTGCTGCATGGTGCATGCAAGGCGAATCTTTTAATAGTGGAGGGTTACTTTCAGCCACCTTGGTACGCGAAGACGACAAGATTGCGGACCTGAACTACATGATCGGACCCAAGTTATATGAAGCGAACTGGATGGATCTTGCTGCTAAAGGTCACATTGCAAATGTACAGGTAGGGGACTCGAATTTGTCCTTCCATTCGTACAAGATCTCACCACAACCTGCAGTGCGCGGAGGTTTGGTGTCCGATGACGCCAGAGTTCTATCGCGAGTACTTACGGGAGCAGACGAGGAAACGCATGCTTCTCTACTGCATGAACCCGAGGAAGTTCCAGGCTTGCCAATTCTTAATCAAGTACCACGAAGATCGAGGAGACAAGATCATCGTGTTCTCCGATAACGTGTTCGCACTAGAGGTTTGCAATGATCGCGAGCCCTCGGGGAAATTTGCAAACTCCGCCCGACTGACGTTTTTGATGTTTGCTTCCAGGCATACGCCAAAAAGCTAAAGAAACCGTACATCCACGGCGGAACGGGTCAGGTGGAGCGGATGCGGATCTTACAATTCTTCCAGCACAATCCGCAAGTGAACACAATCTTCCTGTCCAAGGTGCGTTCGTCGGAGGAAACTTAGCGTCCCAATTTTGATGTGATGAGCCCCTTGCGCAGGTTGGCGACACTTCCATCGATTTACCGGAGGCTACTTGTTTGATCCAAATATCGTCGCATTTTGGTTCGCGCCGGCAAGAGGCACAGCGATTGGGTAAAAGTTTTACACTCGGTCTTGCGATATCACGATACTAAAGCACGTATACTCCTGTCTGTCGAACCCAGGTCGTATCTTGCGTGCCAAGAGGCGGAACGACGAGGGCTTTAACGCGTTCTTCTACTCTCTAGTCTCTAAGGACACGCAGGAGATGTTCTACAGCACGAAGCGACAGCAGTTTCTGATCGACCAAGGGTACGCTTTCAAGGTGATCACGCATCTGGACGGGCTCGAGAATCTGCCGGACCTGGTGTACAAGTCGCAGAGTGAGCAGATCGAGCTGATGCAGTCAGTGCTGCTCGCGAACGAGAGCGCCGCCGAGCTTGGGACCGACATTCGAGCGGGAGAGGGGGACCTTGCAGGGACTATCACGTCGAAGGATTTTGGGGCTCCGCCGGGAAGGGTACCGGCTGCGCAACGGACGACAGGGTCATTAACGGCTCTGAGCGGAGCTGCGCACATGTCCTACATCGAACAGAACAAGTCGGCGAACAAGCGGCTGGCGAGGGAGGCCGCGCCACGGAACAAGTTGTTCGTGAAACGAGACCGAGATATGGCGGCGGCGAAAAAAGAGGCAAGGGCGGCGGGACGAGGATGATGTCGAGGAATGATTGCGAGTTGTGCCTGGTAAAGTTGTACTTATCGCGCGCGTTAGGCACGAATGCGGACGGAGCCCCGGAGCCGGCATTGATGGGCAGATTCTGTATGTAGCATGTACATATATGGCAATCCTTCGTGCCCAAGAAGACGAGATGAGTCCGCGAGATTGAGTTGAGAACGCGCTCGCACTGTTCCGAACGGTGAGACGATCCTGGAGGAAATGTGAGAGTTGTGGCGAAGGAGGAGGTCGTTCAACCAGCCAGCCCTCTCTGCTCATCCGGACGGCGGACGGGGTGACAGGCGCGCCCTGGCAACAGCCTGGGTGTGCTCCGCCGGCCTGGTCCAGCTTTCCTGGCGCCGGACACTGATCGACATCCTAACACGGCCATCTACTGAGTTGGAACATAAAGTCCGACCGTTACCGACCGGTGCACGCGCCGTCGTCCCCCATAGTGCCACCCGGCTTTCCCTCTTTCAACTCCCCGCCATCGCTCTCCTCGACGCCCACCATCTCCCCATGTCGTCGGGCAAGGTATGTCGCAGCCCATCTTGCTCTCCTTGTCTTCCCCGCTCACCAGTAATAAAGCGAGGTAGAAAACGCAATGACAATCTCCCTCCCAACCGCGCGAGGGATGTCCAGGTTTGTTTTTCTTTTTTCTCTCTCCATCGCTCCTGCTCATCGCCCGTTTTCTCTCCTCCATGCTTTGTCCCGTCAGCGTGCTTTTCGCGCTCGACGCGCCGCTCACCTCGAAGTATGCACCGCGTTCGGCTCCATTTCCAACATAGTGACTTCTTTATTCATTTCATCTCATTTGTATTTCCAGGCTCTCGAGCAGCGGGTCGCAGAACTTGAAGAAGAGAACAATACGCTCCGTGTTGCGCTGAACCTCCCTCCAGCTAACCGACCTCCGCTTGGCAAGGGACCTACTGGGAAGGACAAACCGAAACACCCTTCATCTGCGTCAGGTTCGCGTTCACAGGATGCTCTGTCACGCCCTCCAGACTCCACGAGCCGTGGAGACTCAGCCGACTCCCCAGATTCTACTCGGACTCATTCCCTGTCTCCGTCCACCATGACCGCCACTGCGGGAACCATGCGAGCCTCTCCCCATTCGGCATCCAATGTCGAAGGAACCGCTTGGGATCAGCAGATGCTTGTCACCGAACAACAGCAACAACAACAACAACAACCCGAGCCGTCCGCGTCCTCATCGTCGACTGGCTATCCTATGCCGACACATAAGCCCGCGCCTCAGTCGCAATACACTTATTCCAGTCCAATTCCCGCTACATCACGTCCCTCTATGCCCAATGGCATTTACCTCCCTCCCGTCTCACAGGCGCCGCACAACTACTCCCATACCGCCGAACGGCCCATGCCCGAATCTTATGCAGCCTCAAGCTACGCCCCTCTTCGCGGCGTTCGCGAGGAGCACCAACAGTTTTCCTATCCACAGGCGTCCTTTCAACAGTCCGATACAGGACAGCCCATCTCGCATCATCACTCACCTCCTGTCTCCGTCCCCCAAGTGCACGATGCCCGAGAGACCTCTACGCAATCTTCCATGCCCTATCCTCATCGACGTTCTATTCCAGAGCCTCAGTACGGCCGTCCACTCATCAACCACTATCAACCACTTCCTCCCCCTCACTCCTCTAACCATCCTCAAATGACGATGTCCGGCTCCATGCGTCGCCTGTCACCGCCTCGCATTTCCGATAACTCCCACACTCTACGTCCGCCGTACGGTACTATCGATTGATTTATTTCCTCATTGCCTGTTCTAATCAATCAATCATTCATCCACGCCTGGCCCTCGCCGGTCGCACGGCCGTTAGCAACCCCAAATCGACCTCCCAGTCCACTCCACGTGTTATCTATCATAATTCTCATCGACCGTCTTTTCTCTTTCTGCTTCGTACGAGAAGTTTCTGTATCATTATTCTTTTGGGCTCGCCTTTACGTTGCCACTTTGTTTGTTTTATCGTGTCACGATGTTGGTGGAGGTTTGCTGCAACCCGAGAGTGTTTCACATTGTATTGGGGTTCGGACGGTAGCGGTTTTCGGCGTCCACATTATTTAATCCATCTGGAAGCTTCCGAACCAGGCATGTATGTCTCTAGGATTCTGTCCTTTGCCACGAGCGCACAGTGCTAATATCACTATTTCCATTTTCTTGTTCTCGACACCGCATCTGGGATGTCAGAGATGGTTCAAATGGAGAACCACCCAGCGACAGGCGTCCATGACGTTGAAGGCACCAAGTACTATATACCTCCTCGAATGGAACACAAAAACCGTCGGGTCCTATAAGGTACACCAATCAACTTTACTTTCTTTCCCGTAACGATTTTCGAGCCATTCGTTCGCTTTCGCGAAATGACCATTGCCTAGAAAGCCTTTGTGCGCACTGAACGGCGAGGGGTGCTAATAGCGGTGAAGGAAGGCTTTAGTGAATCTCCGGCGGACCCGAAAGAAGAGTGGAGGGATCAACGTACTGCGCTAGTGAGAATAAGGTGTTTGTTCTGGAAAAGGAACAAGTGCGTTCAAATGTTTAGCCAAGATCGTCTATCTGATTATGATGTTCGTAGACGGGGATGGGGGAATAGACCTTACTCCATCCAATTTAGCAACCCTCTTCGCGGCCCACGCCCCCCAGCATAGGAAGACACACCCACGGCCACGTCCTACGCCCGCATTACCCCCGTTGGCGACGGGCAGGTTGGCACCTCCATAACGATCCACGACGTCCACGACCTTGTCTGTGAATTCCTCCCAGCCTCGCTTGGAATGTGAACCCGCTTCTCCGGCCCGCACGGTCAGACAAGTGTTCAACATCAGAACACCATTTTCGGCCCAGGCGGTCAGATTCCTATGAGACGGTGATTTTATAAATGTCACTACAAGGGCCGGAATGATACTAAACATCACCACGACTCACCCATGATTTGGAGCGACAAACTCCGGAAACTCCGCCTTGATCTCGGCGTATATCTGCGTTGCAGTCCATCGCCCGAGGTCAGCTTTGTGCCATTGACAAAAGGGAGCCTAAGCAGGATACGTACGTTTCTCAGAGACGGAGGCACGGCGACCCCAGTAGGTACAGAGAACGATAGCCCTAGAATGGAACGTGATTTCGTGAGCAACGTCGACGACAACGCGATGCATGACGAGGATGCTCTACCATGCGCCTGCCTAGCTCCATGGTACGGGTCCTGCCCGATGATAACGACCTTGACTCTACCCAACGGGGTGAAATTAGACCACGAATAGATATCTTTGGCTATGGGAGCAATGACAAACGACATCCCGTTAGATCTAGACGCCGAAAACACAAAGGGGCCTTACGTGCGGGGTATATTTTGAGCGGCATCGGAGTATCGTTCGGACCTTTGAGGCCCTGCTCCCACAACCACTCTTTTAAGGCAATGAAGTACGGCTTCTTGATCTCATCCTTCAGGAGCTTCAACCTTGTACTCTGGTTTATTTATCTATTACTAGACAACAAAGGCGGGCCCACTCACCAGCTCTTGCCCAGTGTCTCACACTCCAGCTGCAATAACCTTCTTTGGTCCTCAGTGAGCGACTCGAGATACGCACTCAACGAAAAGGGTATGGAGTTCAATGGGACAAATCCTATTTTGGTGGAAGAAGAGGAGGTGCCCTTCGAGGGTCCAGGAACCAGCGAACCGGAAACAGAAGACAAAGAGGGAGATGCTTTCAGCTTCTTGCTCGCTGGTCCAGCACCATCCTTGGGAGCAACTGAGAACATATCCATAAGTGTTCGCTGGCGTTTTGCGCCACCTGCAGCTGTTGTTGTCGTCTTCGCGACCGTGACACCGCCCTTGGTTTCCTTTGCGCCTGCATCAGACGCGTCTTGCGACGCGTCTTCGTCAGCTTTTGCCGCCGGCGGGGGTCCTTGTAGGTCCTCTAGATAAACGACGCGTTGAGTGGGCTCCATAGAGAGAACGGCGCGGGTGTGTGCAAGAAAGACGCGCTTTAGGTTGATATGAGTTGGCAAGATGAACGCGGTCAACAAGAAGCCCCGTCCACCCGCAAGTCGCCGGCGTCAAGTAACGTACTTCACCGTGTCTTCCTTCCCACGGACTGAATCGACCGTCGTGTTCAAACGTGAGCGGACGAATATGAGCACAATATCATTGGCATATGCGAGTGCTCTTGGGTACGTCTTCACAAGCACTCCTATAACATGTGTGCGTCTCGACCAGCACAGATCTTTGTAGAGTCCAGGCCGACTGCAGAAGTCAGTCATTTCTATGGTAACCGGGACTGGACAGCTCACTAAATGAACGTGTGCCGCACGCGCCGAACGATGCCGCGCACAGGACCCCGGAAGCCTGCCTTCCTCCGTCCGTTGTATATCTACCCTCGCTACTTCTTTTGTAAGCAGGGTCCGTTGCTCACTCGGTGAAGATATATTTTGCGCCAGTGTGGTATTGAGCTGCAATTCATTTGCAGGTGCTTTAGAATACTGTACCCTTTATAAAGAAGCCGAAACCGTGAAGTTCAAGTTGCGAGGCCTGTTCTGTTTGACGACACTGAACTCTCAGAGATCCAAATAGATAGTGGAGCACCTACTCGTCGCAAACGGACATGAGTGGTACAGTCGCGTATGCAAATGAACTCTTGCAACACGCTCGGAGAGAAGTCGGATTAAAAGCTGTAATTGTACGTCTCAGTTAGGGAGCATGTTGCACCCAAGAAAAATAGGAAGGGGATCTGCGATAAGGGAGAACGCACGAATAGAGTTGGGAGGCATAAACGAGGCGAAATTGGAAGAGAAAAGAGAATTAGAGCTAAAGCTGAATGTAATGAGTTGGTAAGAGTCCGAACCGGGGAAAATACATAAAATGTAACGTCAAACGATAGAGTAGACGGGGACGCAATATTCGAGTACGAGTAAGGCGCCAGAGAAAAGTGAATTAGCCCTTTGTCGACCCAAGATCCATGACTTTGCTTCCGTGTGACTGTTGAGGCAATCCCTTCCGGCGCTATAAATCAGTAGGTGAGCTGGACGTTCTGAAACGGTGTTTGCGCCACACAACGTACCTGAGCGTTACCTTGAGCACTCGAGGCAGCCGAAAAAGAGGCTTGGGCCTCCTTACTATCGGCAGCAAAGGAGTGAGATTTCGGAAGTCCATACCATTCACAGTATGCGTTACAGGCATGTTCATTTTCGAAGTTGGAGTGTGTCTTGACGAGGTTTCCGTTGCTGAAAAGGTCACCCAAGCCACTGTAGAATATAACACCATATAATCAGTATCGGGTTCACGAGACAGAAGACTATCATAAAGGCTGACGGATGGGTTATGATCTGTGGGTCAGACAGCATGGTATTTCCACCTAAAAACAATACAATGTCAGTGTCTCTACACGGTAACGAAAGCGATAAACGCGGATAGCTCACCTTGGAAGTCGGTAACGAACGCTAAGCCGGAAGTCTTCCAGTACTGTACATGCTGACAGAAGGCAAGGAACTCGCTCCGAAGCTGGTCGTGAAGGTCGTCAGCGGGGATGGGAACGGAAGAATTATTATTGATGTATTTTCGCCATCTTCCGTCCACATCGCCGTCAACGAGCTCCTCGAGCAAGAAGGCGTCCTCGTCATCGCCATCAGGAGACCGCCTGATCGCCAGAGCAGCATCGACATATCTAAATTGGGGTATCCAGAGGCTATCGGAAGGAGGGGAGCCATATTCCTTGTCGTGGGACTCGATGAACCTGTATACCAGGTCGTCGGTAAGGGCATGGGCCCACTGTCGGCAGAAAATGTCACTGCTAAGCAGCCTGATCTGGGATGCGACGCTTCGGATGGTACGACTACCCGTGCGCTCGTCCTTTGAGTAGGCCTGCTTCACAGCAACCCTGGAAGTGGGCGCGAATAACGGAGGCTCAGTTGTTCCGACATGCATCGTCTTGAACGATCCGCATAAAGGCTTCATACTTGGATTATAAAAGAGCCGAATACTCTGCGGTTGTACGCGCCTCATCCAGTTAGAGAACCCAGCCGGTGAATTATCGCCACTTTGTATCAGGGCAGACCAGGAAGATGCCGGGCAGGGATATACCGTGAGCTCGAGAGAATGAACGCCACCTAAGAGAACAAACCGAAAAGCGAGATGAAACGTCAGAACCAAAGAGACAGATTTGGAATGTCATGAGGGATGATTGTCTAAGGTCTTACGCAGATTCTCGACAGCTCGGGGTTTTGGTACTCGACCGCCAGCCAACAACGCGAGCTTGATAGCTTTGGGATCAATATTTGGAAGTGAGGAGTCGTGGTGAGAAAGCGGTTGGCGAGCAGCACGCTTGGGTGGAGGATGATTACTCGGAACGCCCGAAGCTGACTCGCCGTTGATGGAGTGTGATGACTACCCGAAGGCCCATATGCCAGTCAGAACCACACGAACACATTCAGCACGGTAGGAAGCAGGATACGTACATCTGGTGCAACACTTTCACGCTTCCGTTTCGCGTCACCGCGGCGGGACATACTCGGACTTTGGACCTGTGGTCCTGGAACAGGCTAGTACAGGAGGCAGGTACATTTCAACATTCGGGCCACCTCATCGACGTAAGTAAACCATACGTACCACCGCGCGACCTTTTCCCTTGTCTTCGACTGCGATGAGACCAGAGTCTTGCATGTTATCCTGTTAATAAGGAAAGTTCAAAGTGTACTGAAGTGTTGACGAAGATAGTTGGATACTTACCTCAGGCTCTTCCATGTCGCCGTCAGGACTCAGATCTTTTGGCTGAGTGTGCTTTCTTGGCGATGGTGTGTTCACTCCATTAGAGTTCATGTTAGAAATTATTTCTTTAATTTGTTTGGAAAGCGTTCCTTGATCTTTTCGACCTCGTGCGAGATTGACTGAATGGTATGATTCTGCTGGCGTGTGCTCGGCAGTGCGAGCTTTCCACGGATACGCTGAACAGACTTGGGACTGAAAAGACCGGTCAATAGGAGGTCAGTAGATTGACAGATTAGTGTTGGACAGTATGATATACGTACCTGATACCATACTCATTACCGTCAAAATCATCCATTACCATCTCGGCGATCTTCACGTCGGAAAGACCAAGGTGGTAGTACTTCTTGATGAGTGGTTCGAGCAGATCTTGTGGTGCTGTTTAACCAGTCTCGTGAGATGTTTTGACGCCTTTGAGTTCGGAAAGGGGAGTATAGGTACGCACGGAGCGGTTTGTGCTGATTGGCCTTGGGTGGCATAGCATCAACTATTTGCCCACTGTCGATAAGCAAGTAATTCGACGGAAACGGAACAGTGCCAATAGGAGTGAGTGAAATGGAGTGAACGTACATCAGAAAAGACGAAGCGATGACCGAGAGCGATGCATGTCGCCTAGAGGGTGACGAGTGGTTTTAACGCATCATCTGGAAGAGCGAGATTGATTTTATACTACGCACCTCATTAGTATTGTGTAGCCAATCGGCTTACGGTGAATGCATAGGCCCTCGGCATGAGTCAAAGAAACGTTCTCCGGAAGTAGAAGCGAGGATAGTGCCCACCTATGAACCAAGAGAACATGCGGCATGTCTACGACGACCTCCGAGAATGCGAATAGAGAGCTGTTTTATGACATTTCAGTATCTATGTAGCTAACATGCTTGTCTGGGACTGTGTGTAATAAAGCTCTTCCGAACATTGCGCACCGTAAGGTGGTGCATCATTACGCTGTTGTCAACAACCAAGCCAGCCCACGAGGATTAGGCCCCTACGTACATTTGAGTGATAGCTCCACGGCAAAAGCGCGCGCGCTGGGCTGTCCATGATGACGCATCATAGAAGCAGAGGAACGAGGGCACCAAGAAGCGCAAAACGAACCAATAAGTTCAAATCGCTGCGAGCTGCAGCGATGAGCCCCTCGTGGATCTGTTTCCATTGCATAAATTGGGCATCTTCAGCAAGTGAGATAGATTTATACAATCCAGACACGAAGGTGTAAATGGATCTCATATACACTACATAGCAAGGAAAGGATGGAGCGTGTACATCAGGAAACTCACCCCCCGCTAATTTCCGCTAAAATGCCTAATCGGGACGACGCGTCGAACCCGTGTGGCTGAGCGTTGACCGCGGGGTCATTCGGTCCACTGTGACGACGTTTTCAGTCGTTTTCACAGCTTTTATCCTCATGTATGTGAATTCTACGAGACTTTAGAGTGCTATGAACCTATATGATGTATTTAAATGCAATGATGTGAGGAAATCTCTCGAAGCCTATCATACAACTGGAAGTCGAGTGCAAGACTGCCACGGTAAGACGTGATCTTTCTATACAGTTATGACTAGAACATCGGTTTTGGGTACCATTTTCTGTCGGGCACTATTACTTCAGTGTCAGGACATATGTACGTGACATATGCTATAAAAGGTGTACATGACAGGTACGCTATATGAAGCTCTTCATGCGTTCACAGCACAAACATCCGTCACCAACGAGTTTGCACCAAGTCGTCGTCCGTCCCAATTTGGCGACGCGGGCAGTCGGTCCGGGAGCGCCGCCCTACGTCATCAGATGCCACAGGCGGCGGGCCGCGTCACCATTGGTCCGACTATATAGTTCGTCGCGTTTGAGACATTTTCCGGCGAGCACTTTTGTCCCCTTCCACCATGTTCGCGTTCTCCTCCATAATCCACTCGCCCGCCCGCCCGCCCGCCCGCCTACGTACCCGCCCGCCTACGTACCCGCCCACCTATGTACCCGCCAATATTTCATTCACGTCACCCTTATTCCTAACAGTTCAATGAACCCGCCGCCACCATCTTTCGCCACCCATACGTTCGCGTTGCCCGGCCATACTCAAACCGCTGTCCACCCGCCCGGTTTCTTACACCGCTATACGGTCTAGTTGAATAGTGCGCTCTCTCATCTACTCTAAACTCGCACATTTATGCTGACCCTTTCTTCAACATTCCTGCTATGCCTCAGAGATTGGACGACAGAGCTATTAGAGCGGGTTCAATGTTGCGAAGTAAACCTGCAGGTGAGTGTGCCGTATTCAGGCCTCTCTGATCATGACATTACTTGTCAGCGTGCAGAAGCCTCCGTCCAGGACAGGTTTCCCCCCTCTTGTAAGTCCCTCTCTTTACGAGCCGCTCTAATCACTTGTCTCCATATGCAAGTGATCTTCATGCCATGGTCTGAGTACTGTACATTATATACTGTCCGCTGCCTGACAATCTAGTTTATTTTACTCGATAGCCTCCCGGCATACGTCTTCCGCTTGCCGTGGGACCTGGTGCGCACGTTCTCTCCTCTATCATGTCTTTTTTGTTCTCGAGACGCGAGCTGCCTGTTTGTATGCGGTGAAAAGCTGGTGGCGGTAAGGGAGGTTACGTGGGTTGTTCAGGTTTTGACAGAAGGTTGTGTGGGGGTTGTCCGGTGGCGGGTTTGCGTACTTCTGCATGGTGTAGGCTGATCGTTGTGCGAGAATCTGTAGTCTATAGTGTACAGTAGTTAACATGTATAGTACTGTACATTGGGCTCCGATAAATAATATGTTTATGGACCCCCTATCATATCCGAGCCGTGCAGCGTGAACAGAATGACAACCTAATCCATGCTAGAGGACGGTAGGGAGCCAGCTACTTACGGGCATTTTAGCTGGAATTAGGACTAACCACCGCTAATTAGCAGCCCATTAGGAGGGCACAAAACTTCTGACGGCTAAAGTCGTTTAGGGCTAACGAGCCTCGTTTACCTCAAATTAGGAGGTCTTAGGAAGGGAGTGGTTTCCTGATGTACTTACCAGAGGTTTACCGGCGTTCGACGTCATCCACAATGTGGCGGGGGCCGTGATGCATTAGGGGACAACGGCAAGCGGAAAGAACAGGTTAGATACATACCTAAAAGATTTGTACTTTTGTAAGATGTGCGCGCAGGATGGTTTTCGAGTAGGACCTGTCCTAGAGAACTTGATATTTTCAGAGATTGGAGCGGTGAGAGCGTTTCGACGCGATCTACCGAACGGAGTTTGAATTTTCACTGGCTCGTTCTGGATGCTATGGCCTCGAAAAACATTGAGAAACCTAGTGAATATTCACCCCGGCTTCACTTTTTCCATTAAATTGTGAGCATACTCTATAGCACATGAATGAGCAGCTGATTCACATAAGATGAGCCGCAGACCTTATTCCACGGTCAACCGAATAAATCTCATAGGAATTCATACATGGGGCCATATGCAGAATACTTAGTAGTGGCGGTGGCCACATGATGGCAGTTGACCGTAACCATATGAGTTCAGATATGCAAAGACATATTCTCCGCCTGTAATATAAGTCTCATGTGGGCCATCGCACGAGAGACACGCGTGACTCTACCAGCTACGCCAGAGGATGCGCGGCGGGAAGAGAAGAAAGGGCTACGATTGGCCTGACTACTTTTTCAGAAGAGCACTTTCCGGGGTCTGAGCACCGCTTCGGGTCGGCGCGCGCGGCACCCGTTCATTTAACGAGCTGTCCAGTCCCGGTTACCATACATTTCCGGTGAGTTTGACAGTTGGTGTTCGCCCTCGAATTGTTCTGGGGGTTATGTAAGTACTATAATTTGCTCGTCTATGAGAACAACATCACGAGAAGGGCCCTCATGCTCAGAATCTTACACGCGTTATGCCTATGTATACTACTTATTAAATAGTTCTCTGCCTGAATTAGGGTCGTTGCCCACGCATCCTTTCCATTTAGTTCTCACGCTGGGACCGGTCTGAGGGAACAGAGTTTGAGTGGAAAGCGGCGTGGCGAAGCTAGCAGTAGCGAAGTATGAAATGTGATCATGAGCGTCTAGACGTCGCCACACAAGTCAAGTAGTCAGCTGGGTGCCACAAACAACTAAAAATAGCTCATGCACTCACGCTGGGGATGGACCCATTTCTGTCTACTTACTCTTCAGTCGCTTTCACCCGGACCAGTCGATAATTTGTTCTGCAACGACGGCAGTCCTCTTACTCTCCCTCGATACCTATAATTTGCCATCCTGCCGCGCTCAAAGTCCTCGCCTTCCCCTCCACCGTCCAAGCAGGATTCTGCTCATGGTGACCCATCACGAAGGGGGCTCGCCAATGGACGGTCCCATCGTCGTAGGTTTAGTTCGCACATACCCATAACACCAATAGAGACGTCTGCGAACCCTGGGTGGAGTACGAGCTACCAGGCAGGGTCATCCAGGTATGTCCTTTGCTCATGCCACTTTCCTTCGAAACAGCTTCTTCATGATGTGTTCGGTCAACTTCAGCTCAGCTTCAGCGCCAAGTTCGGACGACGACGATAGTGACAACCAAGGGAATGCAGACCAACAAAATGCCTTGCCAGACTCCACAATGCGTTCTCGGGATATGCTCACCAAGACGACGTCGGTCGCTCGTCGGCCACCAAGTCCCGTCCAAGTTCCATCCAGCTCGGAGGGATCTACCAGGGATGGCAGGCTATCTTCTCGGCGACGCTCTTTCACTCGCTCCCGCTCTCCCGCCCCCGTTACGATAAATGACTACGGACTTCCCCCTCGGACGCCCTCCCCCTCGTCTTTCTTCCGAACGAAACCGGCGACGGCCCCTTCTCGCTATCATGTTTTACCAGGACAGCTCTCCCTGAGCCTTCGCCTTACACCCTTTCCAGTCACGGCAAAATTCTCCATAGATACCAAGTACGCAGCTGAATCGTGCTTATTGCTCGGTGCCCTCGTATACGCAGCCGCAAAAATATCCATCTTCGGCTCTCCCGGGTCGCCTGACGAATGGTTGTCGATAGGTGGCGCATCCATGTTCATCTTTCACGGATAACATTCTGACCGGTATGTTTTGTGTAGAACTCATCCTAATTATTATCGCATCATTTATCTATATACTACTTTCCCACCTATCCTTCCCGTCCAACTCATCACACGGAACGAAACCTGCACTGACAAAGCAACTGCCGCATCGCTCTTCTTCACCACGCTTCTTCGAAAATAAGGACCCAAAGCGACCCTCGTCCCATCCCGTCGTGACTAGCATGGAGAATTTTGGATTCGTATGGATGACCGTGCCCAAAAATTACAGGTTCGTGGTCTAGTGCCGTAAGATGTGGTTCACCATTCTCAGCTTCCCGTAGGAACTCGTCGGATGACGGCATACTGTCCGGGCTCCTCCTTGGCCCGCTCGTCTCATCGGGGCTTCTGTATATCGCCCTCAATACTTACTCCAAGTCACCGAATGCCGACATCCTCAATGCGTCCTGGTACATCGAACCTCCTTTGTCCTTGCCAAATTTTGGTAACCCGTACACGCCTCTCGAAGCCTTGATTCTATCGCGTCGGGGCGCTGTCGACCTCGCGACGTTGTGCTCCGTCATATTGCTCACCCACGTTTGCGCGTCCAAGTGGTTTGAGAGCCGGTGTCGACGCCGAGAGTCCACCGCAGAAGGAGAGAGGGCTTCGGTTCCGAGGAGTGAGGCTCGCAAATTCCGGCTTTACGTCTTTATGACGTCGATTGTTTGCTGCAGTCTACTCGTTCAACGAGCGGTATTCCAGCAGGCTCAGATTGGCATCTGGCAAAGTATGTGTATACTTGTTTATATCGTGCGGTGCTTTGTGTTGATGATTGTTCGGTCCTGGCAGACATGTCCTACTGGGACATTGCTTCGAGCTCTGTGTTTTACCAGATGACGTTGTACATTGCCATTCGACTCGCACATAGAGGCTTCACCCTCGGAGAGCTGGGCATAGTCGCTTTCGGTGCGACTGCGCTGTTTATGGAACTTGTCAGCCTGACCGTAGCAAGGGTAAGATGGTCACATGTGTTTTTCTTTGAAGCACGTAGACTTACTTGAGAGACTTGTTCCAAGATATGGCCCGTCACCACTCCCTACCTCCGAACATACCGACTTCCGACGCCTCTACTACTATATCAGATCGCATTAATCCCCGGTTCACTCTTGACCGGATTTCTGCTTTCACCCCTCCTCGTCCTCTCCCGCCAAATCGCCCAACGTCCCGTACGGAGACTCAAGTTCCCGAAAGAAAAACAAGCTCACCGACGATTGTTGGCCGCCGGGTTCTATTCCGGCGCCGTACTTATCATAGGGGGCCTTATCGGGATGTGGACGCGTTGGTGTCTACGCAGTAGGGACCCATGGTTATGGGTGGTATACTGGCTCTTCGAAGGGAGGACGAAATGGACGCGACCGGCGTTGCTTGCGTATTGGGCCACCCTGGCGAGCTTGAGCGTGGCAGGATGGAATCGTCAGCTCGCGCGGTCGCGTCGCTATCGCCCGAAACCCGCCACGACGAGCGACGCGCTGCTCTCGACTCAGCCCGCAGACGGAGCAAGCACCGCGACGAGCGAGACCAGCACAACACCAACGCCCCTGTCGAGCACATCGCCCATGAACCTCAACTTCGCCTCGGTGACGATGCCCCACCTGCCTAATTTTCCCAACGGTGCGAACCTGGGAGCAGCGTTAGACGCAGCAGACAAACGTGTGCCCACTTTGGGTCTGAATGCCCGCCGAAAGTTCTTCCATGCGTTGGCGGTGGTGATGTTCCTTCCAGGTGTGGCCGCCGATCCTGCCTTTGCGCATCTCTCGTTCAGCGCGGCGTTCGCGTTGTTCACGTTCGCGGAATACGTGCGATACTTCGCGCTGTATCCGTTCGGGGCCTCCGTCCATCTGTTCATGAACGAGTTCCTGGACCACAAGGACAGCGGGACGGCGATCCTGAGTCATTTCTACTTGCTCACGGGCTGTGCGGGCTCGGTGTGGTTTGAGGGGTGAGTACTCTTTGTATGTCCGTGTCCGCGTGACGGTGGAGCGGGTCGACTGACGAGCGATTGGAACGGTTCTTGGCGTGTCTAGACCGACGAGACTTCTTTATTACACGGGGATACTCGCCGTTGGGGTTGGTGACGCAGTGGTGAGTGAGAGAATGTGGCAGTCAGTCTGTAGCGAAGGCATAAGGTTGACGTCTGTATCCACTTGTCCAGGCCTCTGTCGTGGGCAAAAAGCTCGGGAAACACCGGTGGTCGCCGACGACGTCGAAGACGGTCGAGGGGAGCGCTGCGTTTACGCTTTCGGTGGTGGGGTTCGCATGGATGCTGCGGGTGTTAGGATTGACGGAGGACTTCTCGGTGCGTACGAACGGAATGAGTGTGTAATCGAACGAGACTGAACGTTGTGTGTAGGTTGTGCGATACGGAATGATGGTGGGATTATCGTCTGTGCTGGAGGCGTTGTCGGTACAGAACGACAATTTGACGCTTCCGGTGTACATGTGGAGTCTACTTGCGCTAGGGGACGTGTAGAAAGGGACATGATTAACTTTAATGAATGTGATATATTACATAAGCATGCGAACGCCGGACGAGTGGCGGGGAAGTGACGTCAGGAGGAGCAAGAGAGCTGAAAGATTTGCAGAGTCGAGCAACGCCTTGGTTTGCTGCTGCTCATGCCGTCCAAGCAATAGCCGCCTCTCGATGCGCACCGACCCGGACGACGCACTCGACCCGTCCGTGAGCACGACCGACGTCCAGCAGCATGCCGCCGTCGTCGCGCCCATTCCGCCCGCAAGGCGCCCCGTCCGAAGGAACGTCCGCCCGAGCACCGCAGAGCCGTCCAGAGAGTCGTACATCCTGCCCTCCAACCCAGACGAGGTAGCCATCGCTGCCGCGACCACCGACGCCCAGTCCGACCCCCGTTCGCCAGCCCCCATCGTCGCCTCTGCGCAGGCCCCCTCAGATTGGTCACTTCCTCCAAAAAACACTGAGAGTATTGGTGCGGACTATGACTGGGCGACGTTCGTCAACGCGTATGCTCTTGGGCTCTGGGACGCTCACAAGACACCGACCCAACCGAGATTTATCTTCGAGCAGCCGCCGCCCCCACAACTGACCGTGACCGAGGCCTCACCGATCGGCCGGGACGATGTTCGGGATCTGCATCTGTCGATACCCACCTCTTCGTCCGATCCCGTACACTTGCACCAGTCTCCAAAGTCTATCTCTCCCACCGTCGACGACTCTATCAGGTCACGCCAATCTGCCCCTCCAGACCCATATCCCCCTCCGCCCATAGCTCCCTCAATCACCAGAACCCCTTCCCGCCGTGTCTCAGGCCCAGCTCCTCCACATCGTCTTCGAAACTCTTTCGCCGACATCCGCTCCTCGTTTACCACTCCCGGCGCCACATTATCTTTGGGAACTCTACCACCCGTATCTCATCCAGATGTCACCACCACCGCCGCTGCTATGCGCTGGGCAGCTGCCGGCGTCAGCCTCGCTCCTCTCGCACTCCCCTCTCCAGAGCATGAACTCACCGATCCGATGCGTAATGCTCGAGCGGTCATCCCGGACTCTCTCGCCCCAGAACTCGTCTCTCAGATCCCTCCATCTCCGTCGCGCGGAACTCGAACTCGGGGAAGCAGCTTCTGGGAGCTCTCTCAACCTGTAGCAGATACCCCGTCTTTGCCACCCATCCAAGGCAGCCCGGCGACCACTCCACCCTTCGCCAACCCCCCATCGGACATCTCCACCACGGCTGCCACATCCAACGTCACATCTCCCACTCACCCGTCTTTTCTATCGCTGCCTCCAGCCAGTCTACCTCCTGCAACGGCCCCAGCCCAAGCCTCATATTCGGCGGACATCGATGGAGATTATTTCGGTTCAGCAGAAGCTCCCTCTGCACATTCCAGCTCCGAGAAGCTCTCCAATATTTCCGAGCTCCCCAATCCGGTCCTTCACCGGAGCGACACAGGCTCGTCATTTGACACCCACACGGATGTCCAGTCCGTCCCTGCCCTTTCCCGGCGCGTCATCCTAACGCGACAGTTCTCAGCCCCGCTTCCCAGTCTCCAGACATTCGAGCATCGTCTCGAAGCTCATCGGACGAGCTCTGACGCTACCGCGATGATGAGGGCCAGTAGGGCGATCAGGGAGGAATCGATGTTCCTCGAGTTGGGATACGTACCCGCTCCCTATCCACCCGATGAGCTCGAAAGGCGGCGCGCTTTGAACCAGTTCAACATACGCAACTCGGGCTCCGATATGAACTTCGATCGCATCGAGCATCTGACGAAGCTCGTGTTCAACACGAAGGTCGTCTTGATCAGTCTCATCGACAGCAACGAGCAGTGAGCATCCCTTTCCCGCTCCTCGTCCTGTGGCCCGTTCATGGCGTCATTGTTGATGTCCCGTATAGATGGTTCAAGTCTGAATGTAAGTCAATAGTGACTCTTTTCTTTTGCCTTGGGTGGGTGTCAATGTGGCTTTTGTCGGTGAACCTTTCCAGCGGGATTGGGAGTCTCTACGTTCCCGCGAGCTGGGTCGATATGTGCGCACGCGATTCTTCAACGGTGCGTCTGTCACGTCCTATGCTTTATGAGCGAGAGGATAAATTCGAATCTGACCCTACTCGCAGAGGGGATGAGCCAATGGTCGTGCTTGACACCGCCGAGGACTGGCGTTTCGCGAAGAATGTGCGTCATTTGATGTTTTCTTTTCCAACACGCCTTCGACTCACCTATCCTGTTGGGTGTGCTTCTCAGCCTCTAGTCGTCGGTCCTCCACATGCGCGGTTCTACGCTGGTGCTCCGCTACGGACAGCAGAAGGGTACAATATCGGTGCTCTCGCGATTATGGATGATATTCCAAGACAAGAGTTCAGTCCTCGGCAACGACATACCCTGAAAGAATTTGCTGTGAGTGCTATCGCTCGCCTTTTGGTCTTATCAGCGCCTCACCGTTTTTTCCAGGCCATAGCGATGCGAGAGATGGAATTGTGGCGAGACAAGGTGCGCGGCCTTATTTTCGCATTCTTTCTCCGTCAGATTTCTTAACATTCCAAAAGATTCAATTGCATATCCGCGATCGGATACAAACCTCTGTACGTCCGCCATATCTTGCTTTCCCTTCAATTCCGACCCACTGATGTGCTATGTATATAGATGGAGCAATTCACTCGCGAGTGCTTGGAAATTGACTCGGAAACCACTAGTGACGCCCACCGTCGTCCACCAGACTCGTCATACTCGATGGATAAGGTGTACCAGCGTGCTGCAAAGCTTGTGAAGAGGACACTTGACGTCGAGGGTGCTATCGTCATGGACGTGTCTCACGGAGATGTCCTCGAGACGATGAGCGCAGAGGGCACGGTCTCAATCATCGTCCACAGCGCTGACGTTTCGCAGGAAAAGAAGAGCCACCTTTTAACGGGCGAGGAGTATGCGAGGATGTATGAAATGTTCATGAAGTGTCCCGATGGCAAGATCTCGGAGGGCCTTGTCCCTGGACCTTTGCGACCGTTTATTCCTACTGGCATACAATATGCGCTTAGTGAGTCCTTCCTTCTTCTCAGTGTCAAGCTCGCTCCTGACACACCGCCAATCAATAGGCGTGCCGATCTTCAATGTGGACAAGCGTCCTTTCGCCATGCTTTGTGCATATAATTCCCTGGAGCACGGGAAACGTTTCGTTCGTCTCCATTTCCGTTCGCACTCATCTAAGTCTTTCGAGCTTAATATTTGCTGCAGCTTGAAGGCCACGAACTCTCTTACCTCCGAGCGATAGGTATGCCACATTGCTTGTTTCACCTATTTTGTACTGACCGTTTCGATGCTAAACAGGTGTCATCATCCTTTCTGCCGTGCTCAAGCGACGAATGACGTTGGCCGATAAAGCAAAGAGTCTCTTCATTTCCAAGTACGTCCAACTTTCAATCCATTTTGCTGTATCTGTAGACTGACATACCGTCGCAGTATATCCCACGAACTTCGAACTCCTCTGCACGGAATTTTAGCAGCCGCTGAACTTCTCGCCGATACCTCACTCAACCACGGCCAGCAGTCCTTCCTTCAAACGGTCCAAGCGTGCGGAACGTCTTTGGTGGAGACCGTCAATCACGTCCTAGATTTCACGAAATTGAGCGGCAACTCACAGTCGGGTGGTGTCGAGCATGTCATTCGTCCGAGCAAGTAAGCGACTTAAATGTGTCTCTCCTCAAACTGTCGTAGGATCCTGATCCACCACAGGGTTGATCTCATGCAGCTGATTGAAGAGGCCGTGGAGGGTTGTTGGATCGGGCACCGCGCTCGGATGTCTGCTCTCAACGATTCCGAGATTGGCAGCCTGTATTCACCACCCAAGCAAGATCGCGTTGGTACCAAAACCCCCTCGAAACATGTGGAGATCGTTGTCGATATCGGTGAGCGAGACGAGGTACGTCGCTTCCTGGCTCGGTGCCCGGCCTGGCTGACTTAGATGGTTGGTAGGGATGGTTGGTCCGATGCGAAAAGGGCGGTATTAGGAGGGTTCTTATGAACGTTTTTGGAAACAGTTTGAAGTTCACATCGGTCTGCATTAATATCATCAATGCACGCTGGCCCCCATCTCACCTATCCCTTTCCTGCAGGATGGATACGTCCATGTAATATTAAGGCAGCTTCCTCCTTTACCAGGCCAACCGCCTGACAAGCTGAAGGTTGAGCTAACTGTTGCCGATACAGGGAAGGTATGGCAGCCATCTCTTCTGCATAAGTAACTCCATTTACTCTAGATTGCAGGGAATCAGCCAGGGCTTCCTCAAGGTGAGCAAGTGTTGTTATGTTCGCGTGTAGCGTGTGTTCCTACTAAACGATCTATTAGAACCAATTATTCCACCCGTTCTCGCAAGAAAATCCTATGCAAACCGGTACAGGCCTCGGTCTCGCTATTGTCAACAGCATCGTGAACTCCAAGGGCGTCGACGGCAAGGTCGAGGTGTGGAGCGCGGAGAACGTCGGGACCGATATCAAGGTGACGATCACGACAGAGATCCCGGATGACGAGGAACGTGCAACTTCAGTGACAGAGCAGTTACAGACTGACGGCGCCGCCACAGTGTCGCTCTTAGGCTTCGACAGCCCTCATCGCGGCGTTCAGCTCCTTCGCCGGGTCGTCACTCATTATCTTACCTCTTGGTGGGGCCTCCCAGTGGTCCCCCCAGACACACACGGCCACATCTACATCGTCAACGAGGATATCACGCCTTTAATTACCGCGGTTGAGGCGAAGGACGCGCGCTGGCCATTCATCGTCCTTACAGCCGCGCGCGGGGATACCCGCTTGATGGCCACAGTTAACGAGTACGAGCGAATTGGTGGATTCTGTCGTGTGCTCTATAAGCCCGGAGGCCCGTCCCGCCTGCGCAGCGCACTCAATCTTTGCTTGCACGCACTCAAAATCACTATGCAGGCATTAACCGCCGAAAGAGAGGAAATGGTGTTGAACGCAGCCGTCCAGGGACTCGCATCACCACCCCTTGCAGTATCCGACACGCATCTGTCGCCTGCGCCTACATCTGCGCCTGGAGGTGTCTTTCGTCGCAATTCGGAGGAAAGCCGGGCTCATTTATTGGGCAGCCGACCGTCTATGGGACGCCGCTCGATCACTGTGCATCCTGTGACAACCTGGAGCCAAATGACGCCTCACGAGGAGGAGCACATAACGCCGCCAACCAGTCCTCGTCCTCGGTCATTGAGTCTTGTCCAAGATGAGCCTAGTCCAACGATTGCTGTTGGGACTGGCGCATCTCTGTTGAAGTCCTCTGTTGGGTCCCTGGAACCAGTGTCGGGCGTTCGAGTATTGATCGTCGAGGATAATAGCATCTTGCGCAACCTTCTGTAAGTTCGCCCTTTCCTGGGAAGCACTTTCGGCGGATTTTCTGACATGTTTGATCCTCTGTAGGGCAAGGTGGCTGTCCAGCAAAGTACGTCCGAGCATCCAGCAGAATCGCTGTGCTTGAGTCTGATATCGTTTCGTTTGAAGGGCTACGAATTCCGGGATGCTATAGACGGACGAGAGGGTGTCCGCGTCTTCGAGTCCGATGGACAGTTTGAGTACGTTTCTTATAGGTTTTAGCTCCGTCGGTCTATACTCAGCATCGTTCGTTTTCAGTGTCGTTCTCCTTGACCTTTCGATGCCCGTCCTTGATGGTATGTCCTTTTTTCCCACCCCTATGCTTTCTATTGACCACCCCGTCAGGTATTGGTGCCACTTCTGAGATACGAGCGATCGAAGCTTCACGACCAAATCATCGTCCCGCACGAATCCTAGCTCTCACCGGTATGTCATCACTAGACGATAAGCGACGCGCTTTTGAAGCTGGTGTAGACGGCTAGTACGTGCACTCTTTTTCTTTTTCTGTTACCATACCATCGACATACTAAAGCCCTGGGTCGTCAGTCTCGTCAAGCCAGTGGCATTCAAGACTCTTTCGGAGATGTTCCAACAATTGGGCGTCAAATGATTCGGATCTCTGCTAACGTTTTGTCGTTCCATCGCCAGAACATTACTACCGACATCGTATCTCTTTTACGACCCTCATTCTTAAGCATTCTCCGCATTATATTCTTTACCTCCATGGGATCGATGCCTGCATTGCCTCCCTATCTTTTCGGACGCTGAGCGCTATTTATTGTGCTGAATTCGCTCCCCATCTTGCTTGTTTCATGATTCTTTTCTTTTATCTTATCGTCTCCTTTCTTCACTCATCTCAGCATCCCGTCACTGTAGCATCTGATCTCTTTTTTACCTGTGTGTTTGCCCATCTCCATTGCCAGCCTTGAATTATCGTCCGGTTCAGCCGTTGTAGTCTTTAACCGCTTTGTTCAACCAGTTTCTTGTCATTTGTCTCTCGGGTTTGCGAGCATTCGAGGGAATGTGATCCCCATGTTCCGGGACTAGTTGTACTCAATCACCACATTGTTATGTTTCTCAATCGCAGCGTGTATCTCACTAAGCGATGTGTATTATTTGTTTTCATCATTCTCGTATCGGCATCGAGACGTGTCTCCTCGTCTCGAGTGCGTGGCCACGAGCGTGCTGCCTTCGCCACGGTGAGCGCGATTTACGCGAGGAAGCTGCGTGGATTGGGCGCTGATCAGCGAGTCATGACGTACGTCAGACCCGGAACCAAAATGAAAATAGAAATGATTACATAGGCTCAGGGTATTCAAACCCTGTCGACGTATTATTTCCGCCTCACCACCTCGTTCTTTCCCTCATGCCTTCTCGCGAAATCGTCAACATCCAAGTAAGCCTCGGTTCTGTTCTTGCTTTCTACTTGTTCTTATACATCTCTGTCATATTTCCAGGTCGGCCAGGTATGTTATGGTACCCCTTCGATGAAAACTCGCTCTTACCTCCTGTCGTAGGCCGGAAATCAATGTGGCGAGACGTTCTGGCAGATGCTCCTCGCCGAGCATGGCCTTGACAAGTCTGGAGTACGTCCTCTCAATCTATTCCAATGACTGTCTTCTTCATCTCCGTGTCGCACTCTTCAAGGCATACCGTGGCACAGATCCTTTACAGATTGAGCGCGTGAGTCTCTTCGTTGTTCGTCCTGTCCTGCATGTTTCAAAGAATATGATGGCAATCATAGGTCGGGACATACTTCTCCGAAGTTGAGGGTAACGATAAGGCCCTGCGATACGTCCCCAGGAGTGTCCAAGTCGACCTTGAAGCCGGTGTCTGCAACCGCGTGAGTCCTCTATAGCCATCGTCCTGTGGATCCGTAGGTTCTAGGGCTCAGGGATGATGGATCATTATCTTTTCAGATCAAATCTGGACCTATTGGTGGTTTGTTTAGACCGGATACCTACATCTACGGAGAGTCGGGTGCCGGAAATAACTGGGCAAAGGGCTGTGAGTGCTTCACCTAGTCTTTCAACGAGTGGCGATTACTGATTCGACTTGTACTAGACTATACTGAAGGTATGCGATTCGCTGAACGCGTCACAAGTCTATTCTCTCGAAGTCTGATTCCCTTCTTGGATAAGGTGCTGAGCTGGTAGATAGCATCACGGTGCGTCGCTTTTGGAACCTTTATTTTTGAATACCTCGAGCTCACCGGCGGACAGGAAAGCCTGAGAAAACAAACAGAGGCATGCGACTCGCTTCAGGGGTTTCAAATCATCCAGTCTTTGGGAGGCGGTTCAGGCGCTGGTCTCGGTTCCCTCCTTCTGTCTAAACTTCGGGAGGTACGTTTGGTGTTTGCATCATAGCCTGAATACGAGCCGACTCAAGGATTTACCCGATAGGAATATCCTGACAGGATGATGGCAACGTTTTCGATTCTTCCATCGCCGAAGGTCCGTAGTAAGTTTCTATGAAGAGAACTCGGTCTGAACTGATCTATCACATTCAGCTGTCCGAGACGGTTGTCGAGGTCTGTACACAACCCTTCCCCTCTGCTCCATGGGTTGTCACCTAAATCCCTTTTTTCTAGCCCTATAATGCCATGCTTTCAGTCCACCAGGTGCGCACGCCCCCTTTTGCTTACCTTCTCGTTCTCTGACAGCCTTCAATCTATAGTTGGTTGAGAACAGCGATCTTACCGTTTGTATCGACAACGAGGCCTTGTAAGCGCAAACGGCTTTTGTATCTCCTCGATAGACAATTAGCTGACAATCAACCCGCATCAGGTACGATATAACGACCCGGACCCTCAAGGTCAAGACTCCGTCCTTCAATGACCTGAACACTGTAGGCTTGATCCATGTCTTTCGCGTTTCCACTTTCATTGAGTACGAATCTGCACCCAATAGATCATTTCTCAAGTTATGTGTGGAGTATCGACGTCGCTTCGTTTCCCGGGACAACTCAATGGGTATGTTAATAATCTCTTGTCCCGACTGTTCTCGATGATGCTGATATCGGTTTAGCGACTTGCGCAAGCTTGGATTAAACCTTATTCCATTCCCTCGTGTGCGCACTTTCTGTTCGGCTTAGTCGTCTCCTCCGTATTCACTGATCCGTTTGTGCTCTCATCATCAGCTTCATTTCTTGATGCCGAGCTACGCCCCCTTCCATGACACAAAAGCTCAATCCTTCTATCGTGTCTCTGTTCCGGATCTCACGAGCGCGTCAGTCCCTTTCCCACTCCTTCAGGGCCCCTGTAGAAAACTCAATCACTTTATCACAGCGTGTTTGACCGCCGTAATCTTTTGGTTGGTTGCGATCCTCGTTACGGGTTCGTAATATTTATCCTTCCTCTGTAACCTCCATGATCACGTCCCTAATGTCCGTATGCGTCTGGCCAGACGCTACCTGACCGCAGCCACCATCTTCCGCGGCAAAATTTCCTCTCGTGAGGTCTGTCTCCTGCACTTTATCCTACGGTAGCATTGCTTGCTCACTCCACCGAATGACAGGCTGAAGTAAGTGCGATGTCCTAAGATCTTGACCTGTGCTAAACATTATTCATTACATATTTTACCCCTTCCGACTGCTTGCTGCCTATCCAGTATGCTGTCCATGACCTCCAGAGGAAAAATTCGAACCTCTTTGTTGAGTATGTATCTGGCTATGTATTTCTCCCTGCAGATACGACTGATCCGTCATTCACTTCTAGGTGGATTCCGGACAACGTCTCCGTCACGCTCTGCTCCGTGCCTCCCGTCGGTCAGAAGCAGTCGGCGTATGTTATTATATCACCTGTCTTGTCCACTGTCTCTGACAGTTGTGTTGGTAGCACTTGTCTGGCGAACTCGACGGCCATCCAAGAGGTTTTCAAACGCAATCTGTCACAGGTGGATCAACTGTGCCGTCCACGTCTATCATTTGCTAATCTCTCCATGTTTCCAGTTCTCGGTCATGTATAAGCGACGTGCCTTCTTGCATTGGTACACAGGCGAAGGCATGGACACCATGGAGTTCTCCGAAGCAGAGAGCAATACTCAGGATCTGATGTGGGCATTCCCCTTCTTTCTATCCACTGATTAAGATTTCTCATTATGATCTTCGTTCGCACAGTGCGGAATATCAACAGGTCAGTGTCGTCAGAGTTCTTTGCCACACAACATTCGCGCTGACTAGCTGCCATTATGCTGATATCGTACTGCCGCGCCACAGTATCAGGAAGCGACAAACGACGATGAGGATGTGGAGGCCGGGGACTATGAGGAGGAACCCTTAGCAGAGGAAGAAGAAGAGTAAAGGTTCGAAACTGCAGTTCCTGACTTTCGTTTCACACTTCCTCCTCTACTTTGATTGATGCGGTACGGGGACTTATCGAGCCATAATATCTTCTGCATTAATACTACGGAAACAGCACTATATCCACATCCGTCCGCAATGTTTGACACTCCACTGACAACTTTGATCGCACTGTTTACTACTCATATGTACACCGTTTCTTGTCTTATGCACTCTCTTTTTCGTCTCCGATCCACCTCCTCAGCTCTTCACATGTAGTCAAATGTTTGCCGACCCCGTCAACTGTGTATCATAACGTATTGTCCATACTCTTTTTGTATGACGACTCGCTTTTTTGTGTTATCATTGCCTTTGACTCGTGGCTTGAACGTGTCCGACTTCTTGAATGGCAGGGTTATATGTAGGTACGACGAGTCGCCTATTTGTGCAGTCGGATGACCTCGGAGAGTTACTACGAGACATCGTAGGTTCATTCATGACCTGAAGTCTGGTTGCAAGAGCCCGCACCTTTATCTCAACTAAACGCTCCGTCGAAAATTCAATCGCCTTTCCTCTCTATCCCAAGCAACAGAAACATTTCATCATCTCCGACCATCCCAGCCAAATCAGCCGCACTCGGTTTTCCCGCCCACACATCCGCACCGCCATCCAAGAGCACTTTCACTACCTCTTTTTCGAGCTTAAACACTGCAGCTCCGAGTGGAGTTTGATTGCGGTCGTTAACACGATTAGGATCTGCGCCTCGTGAAAGGAGAAGTCGGACGGTAGACGGGTGGCCGGAGTAAGAGGCGATCATAAGGAGCGTGTTGCCTATGGTAGTCGAATTTTGTGAGTCGTCATGGAAAACATGACGAATAGGGGAATATGCACCTTTTTCGTTCATGAGGTTGACAGGTAGGCCTGCGTCCAGAGTTTGCCGTAGTATGTCTTCTTCTCCATTTCGAGCTGCTTGGAATATAGTCTGAACGAGCTCGAATGCTTCAGGAGACAACTCGGGTTCTTGGGGCTGTAAAGATTGGACCGGACCGCGTGATGATGTTGTCTATAAGGTAGATGTCATTTAAGATCAAGTTGTCATTCAGACATTGGGGACTTTCACTGGACGAGAAATCTACCTGAATGATTGTTCCGCTAGTGGGATAAAGTCTATTGAGAACATTTTCAGCACGAGATGCTAATGAGGCTTCGCCCAGAGAAGTGAAATTCCACAGCAAGCAAGCCATAAGAACAGGGAGAAGAGCTAGGAAGAAGGCAGACTTCATCCATAGCGAGCCGCGATACGAGGCCATTGCACCGTCTTCGAAGGATCCTTACTGTTAGCAACAACGATGGTGAAAGTCAAGAAATGGAGCGCTGGCAAGGGCTTCGGCGTAGTCATGTGAACTTCCGTTAACGTCGGAGGGCTCGCATGTGAAGATGGACGACACGAGATACTGTGGCTACGACAGTTCAGCGATGCATCAACTGGAAAGCAGAAAGGCAGAAAGTACTATAGAATAACCACTCATTCATCTAAGATGACCGTAACTCTCAAGGATGGTGAGGTGGCGGGGGCCAAATACTCGGCGGCACTTATTCCTGTTCCGTTAGGACAGGTCTTGAGACCAGCTTTGTCACAGAGTCACGTCACGCCTCTTCGGTGGCGGTGGCGTCTTTTTACTGGGAGCGGTCGCTCGAGATTTTTGTTACGGTCACTCGTCCTCCATCACTCTCGGTTCCCGGTGTTTCCCGGTCCTTCCGTCTCGTTCCGGCGACCCTTACTTGTGTTGTGCCACTGCCAATGTCGTGCAGCGCTCAAATACTTATGCCTGACAAGTCCGAACAAACAAACGTGAGCTAATTACAGCCCACGCTCCTCCGCTTGTGTGAGGAATCTAATATCTCGAGCGACGGGCATGCCGTGCTCGTTCTTTCTCAATTCTTTCTTCGAACGCAGGTGAACCCATTATGAGCTTTGAATATTTGTGGCGTTTTCGCCACAGCAAGGGTTGCCTTACTTTTTTTTTCTAGAGAAGTTTATTACAAGAAAGACTGGTCAAAGAACCCACTTATAATTA